GTTGGAGGGCATGCTTGGCAAGTGACAACGTCATCTAAGCTGCCTTGTTTCATCCTAGAGCGAAGCTTTTGTCAGTAGAATAGCTGTGATACATTGAAGTAACATACCCATCTTTGGGACCTTCTTTTGGGGTTTGAAAAAAGACATGGTTGTGCATCGGAATGCTAAGTTTGTCACAACACTCCTTGTAGATTGCGATGTGGTCTGGGTGCCTATAGAAGATATGAGTCAAAAGACGATGCAAAGAGACAAGCCAACAACAAACTGGCCAATGTGGGTCCTTAAGGTAGTGATACCTCCTGTGAAAAAGCAAGCCTTGCGTTGTACTCCCTTCAACCTGTAATTTGTGTATAAGTCATTGTTTGAGATGGTGAAAAAACTGACTTACCGACATACTTTACACCAGTTCCCCTTTTCCATAGCTCCCATATCAACATTCTTATGTTCATTGTCCTTCTGGAAGATGGTACACACATCTGCAGTGCAATCTTGCTTGGTGCGTGGCATAGCGGCCTGAAATGAGAGTTAAAATGGATATAATGATATGTAATAAAGTTGAATAACTTACCTCCTGGTCAGCCAACGTCATAGCCAGAGTTTCCCGATACTCTGCTTCGTCACCAGGTTCAGTTCCCACATCGACATCATCCCCCTCATCCTTGTCCTCGTCCTCATCAAAATCTTCTACAGCCACTAAGGGCGGCAGATCATTGTCGTCAAAGGAATCGTCTGAGTCATTGTCTCCAGGCTCGTTGGCAGACTTGCTGTTCTCAGTCTTCTGGGAGACTCGGTGGCCGTCAATGCTGCTATTCGCCTTGCGTTTCACAGAGGCATTCGACTCGGCGTTGTCAGGATCAACAAGCCTGGTGGAAGGACGCAAAGTGCGAGTGCTGCAATGAGCACCAGCAATGATCCGAGAGGGAGGGGCACTGTGGGAGAAGAAGGGGTGGATACTAGAGGGTTTGGGTGGAGCTCCAGGGCCAGAAATGGGTGTCTCGTCGTCTGGATCGTTATAAAACACAATCTCAGAGGTGTCGAGAAGCTTTCCAGTGGTGTCAACAGCACAGCCTAGGTCGGACATGTCAGGAGAGGGGTTGGGGTAGAATGTGGTGTCGTACTCACACTTTAATACAATAAAAAAAGGTGCAGCAGGCTGTTGAATCGCAATTCACTGTCGTGTAAAAGATGGTGTTGGTGCAGCTGGCTGTTAAATTGTGATCCATTGTTGCGTAAAAGACTGTGTTGCCTGGCTCCATGTGGCCATCAGCAAAAATGTGGAAAGTGTTGAGTGAACAGACCTTGAATTTCAAGAAAATGGCATCATTACATGACGCAACATCGCACAGAAAAAATATGGCGCCTGGTCTCATGTGGTTGTTAACAAAAGAATAGGAGTCCAAGGGAGATCTCACCTTATGCAACGAAAATGTTCATGTTATCATGTGTTGAGAGTGTGCTTGAGATTAATCTAGGGGAATGCACAATGTCAACTCGGAAATCTGAAAGTTTTCAAAGTTGGCGCGAACTTACTTGTGTGTTTTTATCTACATCATGGACTCTTGTTGTATATCTGACTCCAAATGAGATCACCATCAAGAAAGACTGGATAGAAATTGTGTAGTGGTATGAGCACAGAACTAAGCGCTCACAAGTTGTGGAAACTTACCTACCAATTGTATGTGCCAGGCTCAGGGGACAGGAACATCAAAAAAGACTGAGGGATTGCATGTGCTGAGTGCAAGAATGAACCAAAAGGCCGACGGCAACACTGGCTTGCGTAGAGTCCAGACTGGCTTGGAAGACGTTGTGTACATGAAGTAGGCACGCGGAGTTTCAACGTTGTTGACAATGACTATGCTTGACTAACAAATCACATTGGACAATAATCAGACAATAATCAGACTCGGTTTGGACCAGTCCAAACCCATTCACATGGCGCCCCCTCTAAAGGAACTGGGAACCAGACAAATGGTCTGGTTCCCCCTATGTGTCAAATTTTGGACCAAAGCTTGGTCTGGTCCTGCAAGGTTCGGGTTCGAACTTTGGTTCAGAACCTGACTGCGGCATCACTAGTCAGCAGGTGAAATCCCAGAAGCATGTGACCGAATCTTGGTACATTCTCAGTATTAAGTTCGGCAAACACCATCTTGGAGTTCGTTCCTTATGTATGTATTTGATTTGCAGCTGTTCATAACACTTGAGACAGGGTCCAATGTTTGATCTAGGCAAAGGTACCTCCATAATTGTCGACACTCCTAGTATAATAAAGCTTTTGTGTATGCCAAAAACATTGATTAACAAAAATTTAAACTGTTGAATAATAAGAACGTCAGCCATATTGACAGACCAATTCCATTATTTCATTCTTTAACATATTCTTCAGCTGAGTGGTGTTGCCATGGCTACCAAGACTATTTCTCAAAGAGATTGTTTAAATATGCAAATCAAATGTGGTTGAAGTTCTTATTGTTCTTCATTTTCTAACTTTGAGAATTAATGTTTTCGGGATGCACATTGCTTCATTATTTTTCAAGTGGCCACAATTAAGGAGGTACATTTGTCCTGATTATTTATTACTATATTAGGCCCTGCCTCAAGTGTAACTTGACTTGCATAGCTTTCATTGTATGTTTATAGGGTGCACACATTTTCATTTTCTGTAAAGTTACTCTTTTCCCCCACAAGAACTCCCAATGCAAAATCCTGACCACCGACCCCTTCCCAATGGTTGGACCGAACGCTATGATGTGTTGTATGTACCCATGACCTTTTTTCTATCGCATACATTCTAATATTCCTTCACTAGGAGGAATAACTGGTTCACCCTCTTGATTCAGTCTGCCTTGTGTATCCTAACACGTTAACTGGGGTAGGTATTACGTCCAGATGAATGCTACGCCTCAACTACAGAGAGCACAATCACATCAAGTACCTCATCTCCTGACAGATATCCATCACCCTCACAAAAGTGATACATATCCTGCCAACATTTCTGCGCATTCATCATCTTCTCCGTCCACCCCACACTCAAGCACAACAGCTCAACCTCCTTCACAATAAGCCAATGCCTCAGAGGAGTCAATATCACATATCCAAACGGTGGTTTCACCACCATCTCAACCTCAATTGCCCTCACCCCCATATTCAGAAGAGAGTTTTGGCTCATCGATGGGTTCCCCATCTCCACCGCCATCTTCTCAGGGTGTGCAATTGATGGTGGAACCCCAAGGAAGAGGAGGATCTACAACCTCTCCTCCAATCTCACCTGCAGATGCTACTCAATTTGCTGTGCTGGCAGCCCAAGCCCCGCAGAGAGCCAAAATCTTCAAGCAGGTCGGCATATCGGTCGGCAAGACCGCAGGCAAAGCAGCACTGCAAATCGCAGGTAACGCAGCCTTGTTATCAGTGGGTATCCCGCCTGGTCTGGCCATAGATGTCGGGACGTCAATCCTGAACAGCAACACCGTGGGCGCACTCATTGTGAATGCCTTCCTCAGTGCAAGCACAGGGGTCAACCTGTCTACTCTGCTGGCTGTGCTTCAAGGGCAGCCTGGTGCAGACTACCAGGGCATCATAAATGTGTTGAAGCTACAGCAGCAGCGGTTACAAAGGCAGCCTCAGGCACCTTCTGTGGACTACCAGGCTCTGCTCACCGAGTTGACCAGGATACTGCTTCTGCTGCTCAACAGCAAGCTGTTACGCAACAACAACAAGCTCCCTCACAGCAGCACATACGCAAAACGTCTAAACGAACTTTGGGTGCAAAGTTGTAAAGTTGCCAACTTCGCAGAGTAAGGTGCAATCACTTTGAAAGCTTAAGTTCTCAACAACTTTTCAAAGTTAGGAATCCTTTTCCATAGCACTTTGTTGGTCCACTTTGATCAGCTTATTAGGACACTTTAGATCTCGAGCATGACATGTTACAGAACTTAGAAGAATGAAATAGTATTGAGGTTCAGTATATGTATAGCAAATGTGCATGTTACCCCGAGTTAGGCGCTGATTCAAATGGTTTCCCCTGATGCTTAGTCACCTTCCCTCTCTCCTCCAAGTTCGTCAATTGGGCGCCCTCCATCCCGTTAACCCCTTCATCACGTGTATATCCCCCTCCCTTCCTCTCAGAACCCTCACCCTCAGCCGACGAATACCGTGTAACCATATCGAATGAGACCACCCTCAATTGTTATTGGGTTACTTCCCTGCTGATACAGTTCTCGTCGCCAGTCCAGACTTCCATCATGACTTTGGGGGGATGTAGCTCTCTGGTGTGCTTCTCTCCCCTTGTCCACTGACATGCGACCTCATCACTCTGTAGTATAGCAGTCATGGGCAAGCCTAGGAGTCACTCACGTAGCCATGACTGCTCCAACCAATGCACAAGTGTCGTACGTCTCCCCCCGTCTCACACATGTGATGTGCTGGCAATCACCGGCACTCCATATATGGCAATATTATGACTTAGGGCAATGTGCCATTGCCCTAAGTCGTGCTCGAGAATGCGCTACTGCGCGTTCTCGAGCACCTAACCTACCCTAACTATTTAACCACCTAACCTGACTTAGGGCAATGTGCCATTGCCCTAAGTCGGCTCGAGAGCGCGCTACCGCGCATTCTCGAGCATATAAACTACCCTAACCACCTAACCACCTAACCATCTAACCACCTAACCTAACTAACCACCTAACCTAACTACCTAACCACCTAACATAACCGAGAACGCGCTACCGCACGGGGAGGAAAATATCCTGTAAAGTAATTGTTTTAAGTAGAAAAAAAAATGGAGGAAGAAGAATCAAACCCCGAACACTTTGGTAAGCACCAAGAAACCTGCACAAATAACCACTACACCAAACCGGCATATATTTCTACTGTTCGTTATGTACTATATCCTCCCCCAAACGATCAACTTTCCTTATAAGGAAAGTGAGACGGGGGGAGAGCTGCGACAGTTCCAATGCACATTGATTTCACTTTGCTGAGGTTGAAAGAGGTAGCTTGCCCATACAATCAATAACCAGTGGGTAATCGGGAAAGGATCAACTCTAAGATTCCTTTATTGCTACAAGTTTCTAACACAAGGGGCAAAGAGCTTTCGTCGCCAGGTAGGCAGTAAACAGTAAATAACTATGTTAAATTGTTTATTCCACATTTGCAGCAAAAATGAGCAGTTAAATAAGGTTAAAATTTTCTTGCTTATAATTTTTGCAGAAATGAGTGATAAAAATAAAATGTTGTTTCTGAGGTAGGAAGATAAAGATTAACACCATTTTGCCACAGCAAAAATGATGAGGCAATGATTCAATGTCATTGAAAGCTCGTTCTGACACGCGGGAATGGGAACAAAGAATTTACATATTTGCCAAGCAACGAGGTGATCTGGCCCGCATAGGAATGTCTAATTCCCTGGCAATTAGTTAAAGTCTTTGTTCCAATTCCTCATGTCAGGAACGGGCTTTCAGTGACATAAACTTGTCGCCTCATCTTTGTTGCTGCAGCAAAACAGGGTTGATCTTTATTATCCTACTCTGGCAACAACATTTTCTTTTTATCAACCATTCCTATGAAGATAATGAGCAAGAAAATTTGAATTTTATTTAACTGATCATTTTTTCAACAAATGTGGAATAGAAAAAAGCAAAATTCGGGTGAAGGAAATCGTCATGGCCCCAGTCGTCGTTCCTACTATAAAAGATGTGGTCTTCCGAACGAGTATTTAAATTCCCCAGACCTTCCTTTGTCACCGCCACCCTCCTCAAGTCTAGCTCTTTTGCTTTCACTAGCCTCACTGCTGCTGGAAGGACTGTCAAGGCGAACGGACCTCTCCACCTCGCCTTCGCTGGTGGCAGAATCCTCTTCGTCCTCTCGAGGACGTTTTTGCGAGGGGCCGATGAACGGGATAGATGGATCCCTAGCCTCCAAAAGTTTCGCGGTCGATGCCTCAGGATGTGCAGAAGTACCGTTCTGGTCCTGGCCATTCCTTCGGGCACGTTTTGAAGGCTTCGGCCTCTGATCTTTGTCTTCATCAGGGGAATCCCCATCATCGTACCTTCGACCTTCGTCGTCGCCTTCTCGACCCTTGCCATTGGGAGGCAGTGAACGATCCCTAATCACCTGGGTCAGCGACTCTATCAAAGCCCGCGAGTTTACACCTCAAACTCACTTGTGATCCCTCTTTCTTTTCAAGTCGGTTTTCTTCTTTTTCCTCGCCTCTTCTTTCTTCTTCTTGATAGCATCGATTTCGTGCCTCGCCACAATATCCGGGTCATCGGAACTATCAGTTTCGTCGCTGGGCCATTCCATCTTTTCCATAGCTTTGTCTACCTTCCCTTTCAACTGTGACGCTTTAAACGGTCCGATGATTTGCTCTAGCTCCTTGTGGGCCTTCAAACTGCGAGCGTGCTCCTTGCTGACCAAGGCTTGGACGCGAAGAAGCTCTCCAGCGGCTTCGTTCACTTCTTCTCTGGCCCGTTTCAGCACGTCGAGGAGGCTATTTCTGCCTTTTTTCAGGTCCCCGAGCATTTCGTATAACCACCTGTGGGGAAGTGGCTCGCGCTCGTCCGCAGTGCCTTGGATGCGCCGTCCTTGAGGTGGGAAGACGAACTCAAGCTTTTGTTTTGTTGGTGTAGCTGGCTCCGGAGCTTGTGAACGTCGGCTGGGACCAGGCAAGGAAGGGGAGGGGGAATAACGGTCTTCCACAGGGAGAAGTGGCGCGACGTGAAAGCTGTTGATATGCTTCACGGAGTACTTGTCAACTTCCTCCTCCGGATCGGATACAGCCTCATGCTCTTCTTGACCGTCATCACCCTCCTCCCGCTCTACAATCCATCTCGCACCTGTCTTGTCGTTCACGAGGATCTTGTGATTGTGCAGCAGCGGAATGAACTTGTTGGAGTGAAGTAAGAGGTCTTCAAGCTCTTCTCGGTCCAGATAATCAGCGTTCGGCTCTCCGTGAGCCTTCAATAAGCAGTCAACGTCAGAGTGAAAGGCGATATATGTTACGATAATTTCTTACCTCTGCATACTGCAGGAGGGCCTCTCTGGGAAATCCTCGCAGATGTTGACGTTGGATGTTTCTCGCCTTCAGCGCAGCTTTCTGGTCGATCTTGATGAGCTTGGTGATGAGGGGAGGTCCGAGGGGTGACGACGGTGGTGAGGGTTCTGGTGATTCCTCTTCCCATTCCTCTTGTTGTGAGTCTTGCCATGGATCAGATGGTTCAGCCATTTCAGCAGTCTGTGTGGGGGAGCGACGCGTTGTTGATACTTTCGAGGTGGGGGTGTTGAAAAGAAGCTTTACCGAAAGTTCAACCCCACAATTTTATACATATGTGGCCTTGAATCTCTCGTCAGCATGCCTACGGTGGCCCAGCCAATTTGAGAACAATATGCGAAGGTCATGGCATGGCTGGCGCATGACCTGACCGACCACCACACCGATTAGGATTGAATATTGAGAACTAACCGGCCCGGCAAATCCCAGGCCTATTGTTGTGCTTGCTTTGTCGTTGCGAACCCAGAGAACAATGTGGGGGAGAGGGGGAAAAAAATATGTGATGATCAAGACGATAGAAACCTGTGTTGTAGTATTTGAAAACCCTACCTTGACTATATTTTTTGGGATGTGTCAACTTGAAGCGTCTACATACCCGCAGACCGACGCTCCCATTTACATTTCCCACCACCGTTCTGCACAGCACACTGATCAATGTGAAGTTCCATGAATTGCAAGTTTGGAAGAAGGCAAGTTATTGCCACCGAAGTCTTCGCATCAAAAGATTCAAAGCATTGGCATTACATAAATAAAACGAACTCACCAAAGAAAACTGCTCAGTGCCCACAGGCCACTGGCAGTCTGGCACCTGCCACACACAGTGACTTACACCACGCCAAGGCCCACTCGCTCGCGATTGGACGCAAAATCTTACAATGTCCCCGGGAAACTCATAGGATTTTTGAATCATATGCCAATAAATTATCAAGTCACCCTTTCCCTGGGTCTCCTCGAATACAATCCCATCTTATGCAAGTCGAGGAAATTCACCGAAGGGGCGCCCGCATCAGACAAAATGGCGATAAGCATTAAACGCCCTTTCGCACCGTGTCGAAGTTCGTTCCTTAATTTGCAGGCACCTTGTTCATAACTTGCATAGCTTTCATCGTGTTTTAAAGGGCAAACTTAGAGCGAACCGTTTTTTCGTAAAATCTTTTCCCCCACAACAACTGCCAATGCAAAATCCTGACCGCCGACCCCTTCCCAACGGTTGGATTGAACACTATGATGCATCGTATGTACCCGCCAACTTTTTCCTATTGACTGACATTTGATACCGCCCTCTAGGAGAAATAACTGGTTCGCTCTTTGGGTTCAGTCTGGCTTGCACATCCTAACACGTTGATTGGGATAGGTATTATGTCCAGATAAACGCTACGCCTCCAAGGGCTTTTAATCAACATCCAGCAGATCTGGAGCCAGACAGATCCCAAGCAGGGCCTTCGGGAGGTTTTGTTGCCCCACCACCACCACCTCCTCCTCCTTTTTACTCGGGGATGCCAACACCATCGGGAAACGGTCAAGACCCTCTGCGCAGTGGAGGTTCCGGTCTTTCACTAGCCCAGCGCCTCTATGCCAGCTCAAACAGCACAGAAACAACCCCACCAATAATCTCGGCTACTGCCAGAGACTTTGGACGTACACCCACTCCCCTAGCGCCTCCCATTCAAACGTCCCCCTCGACGCCCTCGCCCTCCGTTTCGCCCTCATCAGGCTTCAGGTCGTCTCCAACTTTTCAGACTATCCCTAGGCCGGGCGATCCAAGCCAAATCCCCACTGTGCCTGCACCGAACGCCGCTGATTTCTATAACAATAGACTTGGCTTCAGCAATCCCGTGAACTCAAGGCCGGTGTACACTCCGGTTCCAGGGCAGTCGGGGCCGTCACAATACGGATCAACAGGTAGTGGGTTTCCCAGTCCATATCCAGCAAATAACAGTCCAGAAGCGCCTGCATTCCAAGCGCCTCATCATCACGGGGCGCAACCCTACCAAGTACCCCCGCCACCTTCTTTCCCGACAGATAGTCAACCTGGTTCCACGAACAACGGGCTTACTACCCCATACCCGGCGAACGTCAATTCTGAAGCGCCTGCATTCCAAAACCCTCATCTTCACAGAGCACAATCTTATCAAGTACCTCCGCCCCCGACAAATATCCACAGAAGTGCTACATATCCTGCCAACATATCTGCGCGTTCATCATCCTCCGCAGGACCTCCGTCCACCCCAAATCTAAACACAACAGCTCAACCTCCTTCACAATCGTCCAATGCCTCGGGGTCAATACCACATTTCCAAACGATGCTCTCACCACCATCTCTGCCTCAATTGCCCTCACCGCCATATTCAGAAGAGGCTTTTAGCTCGTCAATGGGTTACCCGCCTCCACCGCCAGGCGTGCAGTCGATGTGGGAACCCCAAGGAAGAGGAGGATGTCCAACATCCCCTCCAATCTCACCCGCAGATGCTGCTCAGTCTGCTGCGCTGGCAGCCCAAGCGGCGGAGAGAGCCAAAATCCTCAAGCAGGTGGGCATATCGGTCGGCAAGACCGCAGGCAAAGCAGCACTGAAAATCGCAGGTAGCGCAGCCTTGATGTCAGTGGGTATCCCGCCTGGTTTGGCCATAGGTGTCGGGAAATCGATCCTGAACAGCAATGCCATGGGCACACTCGTGAATGCCTTCTCTGGTGCGAACGTGGGGGTCAACCAGTCTACTCTACAGGCTGTGCTTCAAGGGCAGCCTGGCGCAGACTACCAGGGGATCATCAACGCGTTGAAGCTACAGCAGCAGCAGCAGCAACAGGCGAGCCTGCTTCAGTTACAAGGACTCGGTTTGCAGCCTCAGGCGCCTCCCGTGGACTACCAGGCTCTTATCAACGAGTTGACTAGGATACAACTGCTCGCTGCCGCTCAACAACAAGCGCAGCAACAAGCTCCCTCACAGCAGCAGGCACTAGCTCAATTGCAGGCCGTTGCTTTATTACAGCAGCAGTCTGCTGCCCAGCAACAAGCTTCACAGCAACAGCAGCAGCAGCAGGCATTGGCTCAATTGCAGGTCGCTATATTACGGCAGCAGCAGCAGCAACAACAAGCAGCTCTGCAACAACAAATTGCGGCACAAACTCAATTTTTCGAGCAACAGCAGCAGCAGAGCGAGAACGAGGTTGCTTCCATGTATCAACAAGCGCAAGATTTCGCGAACCAGCAGTCGAGCTTGCAGGAAGAGTTGCATTACAAAACGCTCAGGCAGCAGCAAGAGCAGATTGTGCTTGCCTCTGCTGCGATCGCACAATCTGTCAGCATCTAAGTTTCTCGCGTGCAGAGTTGTATCTTATCTCAAAATGTGTTCAATCAACAGCAGCACCGGCAGAGCGAGAATGACGCTACTTTGATGAAGAAACAAGCACTAGTGCTGGCTCAACAGCAACAGACTGAATATCTGCAAGCACTGGCGACGCAGCAGGCAGACGCAAACTCTGCGAGGAACAGTGAGAGTGTGAATTTCCTTATTTCTGGAATGGCGGGTGGTGGTTCTGCGTACGGTTCGGATGATGCCTTCTCTTCGCTAGTGGTCGAAGAACTCGACTTGAATCCCGTAAATTATATCTAAATTTTCTGCATCAAATACATCTTTAATCATAACGAGAAGTTTTCGCTACATATGTAGGAGTATTTTTCGTGAAATATAAGGTCGGCCTGCGCGATGGAGAATGTCGACGTTCAGCCAGAAAATGTGACATGAGCCAGTCACGTCGTATTGTCTTCAAATCGCCAATTTGAGTTTGTTCTTTTACCAAGACGAGGACTCACATTGGAATGACCATGGGAAGGACAAGTAAGAGAAATCTTCATCGACCAAGAAGCTTCGCTTAATAACCAGTCATAGAGTCTAGGAAGTCTGATGTTCCTCCAAAATCAAGTGGGCTTCGGTTTATAGATTGCGAAACGCATTTAACAAGGTCTTTTAGAACTGAAAAAGGATCCTGGCATCCCTCGATTGCCTGATCTCAAAGTTCGAGTGCGAAATATTCAGAAGAAGCCCCCGGTGCGTCCATCTTTCATGGAACAAGACCTCACGCTTCAACTTGACGATAGGTGCCACCTGAGAGGCGGATGGACCCAGATAGTCCTATGGCGTCGGAACCTACCCTTTCAACTCTTGCAATGCTTGCTTCAGAGGCCTCTACGTCTCAGCTACCAGAAGATGATTCATCTTCCTTACCTTCGAGGGGGAAAACGAGAGAACAGATGCGCAAATATTACCTTCGGACGTTGCACAAAGTTATTGAGCAGAGTGATATTATCATCCTTGTCCTTGATGCACGGGATCCGGAGGGTTGTCGCAGTAGGCTTGTCGAGGAAGAGGTTCGTCGAAGGGAATCAGAAGGGAAGAAACTAGTTTTCGTGTTGAATAAAATCGGTGGGTGGAACATCAACTTCTGTTAAACGAACTCTAAAATTATATCAGATCTTATACCACGTCCCAACGCTCAGGCATGGTTGAAGCACCTCCGTCACTCCACCCCTACACTCCCTTTCCTGTCCTCCGCTTCATCTCAACATCAGCGGACGAATATATCTAGCTCAACTGCTCCATCATTATTGAAACTATTGAAAGCCTACAAACCAAAGGCCGGTAGCGTGACCGTTGGTGTTGTGGGATATCCCAATGTTGGAAAGAGTAGCTTGATAAACAGTCTCAAGAGAAGCAAGGCATGTTGTTGCTCAGGCTATCGAGAAACCCAAGCTTATCTTTCATTTTAGGTCTGCGCGGTGGCGGCACAACCAGGTCATACTAAGGATCTGCAATCTGTTCAGTTAGAACGAGGGATGCGCATCATTGATTCACCAGGTGTTGTCTTTGACGAAGACGACTTCATTGACGGTAAAAGTGAGAAGAAGAGCAGTGTATTACTGCGAAATGTTGTCAAGGTGGAAGATGTTGAGGATCCTATTGCAGTTGGTCAGTTCCCTTTAAATCTCCAGGTGGCTCAATAACGACTAGAACAGTGGAAGAAATCCTGGCGCGGACACCACCCGCCACCTTGCAAAAGATATACAACCTTCCTGAATTTGGTTCAACGCTTGAGTTTATCACAATGCTCGCTCTGAGTAGTGGGCGACTTTTGAAGGTAGAATCAACCGCAGAACCTCAACCCGAACTAACCTTTCATTCCCACTTTTAGGGAGGAACTCCCGATATAAATTCGGCCGCGCGACAAGTTCTCACTGACTGGAATCAGCAAAAAATACCGTACTACTCTGAGCCTCCCGCAATACATCCGTCTCTCATCCCTTCTGTTGGTGCGTGACAAGGCCCTAGCCAGACAATTCTTTCTGACACCGATTCTAGTTCCATCAAACGATGCTGGTGGAGCCGCTGTTGTAGCGCCCGGCGCTGAGCAAGTTGGACAAGCCCAGATTTTGAATACGTTCTCGAAGCCATTCACATTGGAAGGGTTGTTTGGCGCTGCAGATGCTGGGGCCTTTGGTGGAGCAAGTGGCGACGTGCCTATGATAGCCGACGAGGACGGGGACATATTTTGGGATGCCGTAGAAGGCGAGGCCATGGAGGAGGATGGGTAGGAAGCATGTTTCTTTGACATGCTGCTCCAACTCTTCTCATTCCAGACATTCTCTATCAGGAATCAAATGGAATCGGATGATCTCAGACCTCGAATACCATTGAAGCGGTCGCGGTCCCCATCGATAGCACCTGCCAATGAGATGCAAACTGGACCCTCAAATGCTCCTCCAGAAAATAACCGTGTTCGACAACCTAAGCGCCAGCGGAAGAACAAGGACATACCCGAATATGACGCACGCCCTGACGACCATGTACTTAAGAGGATGGATCGGAGTAACCCATTGAGTCGAAAGACGCTCAAGAAAGAAGCCAAGCGAGCGCGGAAAGCTCATCGCATAAAATCTCAGGCCGCTGCTGGGCCTGGGGGTATGGAAGTCGATCACGCAGAGTTGCAGTTTACGTTCATGGCCTGAATGGTTTCAACTGCTTATTTCGCGGCAGAGCCCTGATTTCAGCTTTTTTTTGTCAACGAGATGCTCGTGCCCTTGAAATAATTCGTTGGCTCCCATTTCCAACCTCTCATTGAGGTATGCTTCGTACTCAGCACTCTTTTCAGCTTATGGCTCGCCAGCTTTGCGTGGCGGAGGTTCGTGAGAATTATCGTTCAAGGTGTTGGGTCACAGGCCGACACGTCCACAGATACAAATAGAGGCGGTCAGGTAACAAAGCATTTACACCTTGTCCTTTCGTCGTTGTTCAAGAATAGCTGAAAATTTGCGGAGTCCCGATGTAAATAGGCAGGTAAAAATAATCAGATGCTGACTACGACCTACTACGACTGCACGCTCAAAGGATCGGAACTTATTCACCATTCACAATAAAAATGCCGGTGGGGAATTTATGGGGCACTCGACCTGATTTTGCGAAACGAGTTAAATTTAGTTTGACCCACCAGAATCACCATGATGAGAAGGATGATTCAAGTATGATCCCTTTCAAATAGATGACCTCAGTCCTAATATAAGTACAGTTTTATCCCCACCGGCATTTATAAATAAGTACGACCCCGCCTCTCAGATTGCCTTGCGCCTTCAAAAAAAAATCTGAACCGAGTCATACCAACTTGAACTTCCGGATTCACGAGCTTCTATCCAAGGTTGCGACGTTCATTATTTATTTTCAACAGAAATGTACACCCTTGGGCGCAATGTGGAAACCCATGTAGTCTATGCGCTCTTCTATTCGCAGAATTTAGGTACCCTTTTATCAATGCAGGCTGTATTTGTGATCAATTTTTTTTACAGGGAAAATCGTTCACCTCTCTTCTCCGGCGCACTGAAATATATATTTTGCAGCTGCTGCTGACTTGTGAACATGTAGCTTGAGCCATTAATTGGCCGTTAATACCCCAGCGCCATCATTTCTGCCGCTGACATCATTCGGGCCTGATTCTTCGACGGGCCGATTATCGGTACATTGGTGTTCTTCGATTGTGAAATTTCATTCCTGAAAGTAGAAGGTGGATTCCAGATGTAAAAATGCGTTGTCCGTCCAGCGTCTACACTGGGATACATGTCCACTGTATCAGTACAAGACCATCATTGAACCATTCTTCTGGTTCCCGGAGATTCTTTGGAGATTCCTTGGAATATATCGTGTTGTCGATGAGTTATATAGTCTCCTTGGGACCTCCGAGTCGACTCGACGATACTCGTTCAGGAACCAGGGTCACCCAACGTTCGTAAAATTTGAGGAGATTTCGGAGCGTCGACTCTGGAGGCTGCGGAATCAGGTGCAGGGCAGCAAAACCCGCCGAAACGGAAGCATCGTTTACATAGCTGAGTGATAGTGAGTGATTTACCGGACAGTAGCCAGGGCTGGACGTTCATTGAGACAAGCCTGAAGGGCACAGTAGTCGGGATTCAAGGTTGTAAAGCACTTCCGCGTCGGAGGGACATGTGTAATTGAATACGACCGATGGGAGTCGGTGGCATTTAATATTCAACTAGCAGTAACTTTGGGCAGCCTGATCACACTCACGGTGGATCCAGTCTGGTCCAGTGCGCATAGTGAGAGAGAAAATAGCTTTTCCCCGAAAGCACGCGGGATTTTTTTACCGAGGCTGTTAGATATCTTACGCAGAGTGCTAACTTGAAGCAGCGAGGCAATTTTGGCGTCCCAGACTCTAAAGCTTCAAGCCAAATATTTATTTACCGGCGCCAATGAAACCAAACAACGCGTCGATACTGGTGACTACATATGCCGACGACAGAAATTCAACGGATCTATGTATGAGTAGCAAAATAGAGGGTGAGCAAAAATGGCAACTACATGGAAGGCGAACGAAAACAAGAATACAAGTGGAGTACAAGGTACACTGCACTGGAAATACAGAAGAGGCGAATGTAGACAAAAATCCAAAGGGAAAAGGTCAAATGAAGCGTATCACGTATCAGTAGTACTCCCTTCGCCCTCAGTCGTACTGGAAGACTGCTGTTGCTCACCCTCAGAAGGGGCAGCGGTTGGTGCTACGGGAGGTTGTGACTGAGGTGGTTGTTGCGCAGGGAAGCCAGAGTAAGGCGGCCAAGTTACTCCAGGATATGGTGCGTAGGAATGATGTGGCGGAGCAGCAAAATATGGATAATAAGGTTGGCCTTGATGTAAAGCTTGAGAAGGATCACCAGCGGGCATTCCGGCTGGTGGCTGGGAATAGGTTGGATAATGATAAGGTGGACCTGGAGGTTGATGTAATGGGTGCTGGGGAGGCGTTACATTTGATGATGGTTGGGGTGGCGGCGGTGGATAGGCACCTTGGGGATACATGTGACCAGGCGGTGCGGGATAGTGGGAGCCTATCGGGAAGAAGGCAGGCGGGGGTCCATAGGGTGGATATGCCCCCTGTGGGGGAGGCATGTGAGTGCCTGGGTCAGCGTAGACTGAAGGTGGTGGCGGCTGGCTAACAGCTTGCGAAGAATGTGATTCGCCTGCTGGAGGGGTGTCGTCTGGCTGTGCCGACTTTGTGTTTCGCCTAGCTCGTTTTGGGACTGATGGTGAGCCATAGGGATCATAGCGCTTTCCGCGCTTGTTAGACGATCCTTCAGCAGAACGACCATCTGTCAGAAGCGGCACGCCCGACGAGAGTGGCCCCGTGATAATTGAGGGAGAGGATTCAATGTCGTCTGCTTCTCCGCGGTAACGAGGGATGCCGTCTACACCTATTTCAACTTTTGGTGGGTTCCGAAAATGTGTTTTATCGAGGTACTCGGGACTGATGTCAAGAGAGGCGAGCTCGGGTAGGGATGATGGGGCACGAAGCCTGCCATTCTCAACATCTTCGATCTTGTAGTATGAAATTAGATGTTGAGCGACGCCGTCGATAGAAAGAGAGAAGGTCTAGGAACTTGATTAGTGGGTGAGTCATGACACGAAACGTCGACCACACCTTCTTCATCAGGCCATCAGGTTTGAACTTGTAGCTGTTCGTCAAGCTTCCCATGAGGGTTCTCTCCCTATGCTTATCAACACCGATATGGCTGCTATCTGTCTTTGGTCTACTAAGAGACGACCCCTCAAGTTTGACTCCATCGACATTGTACTGCGTCGGGTCGTTGATATCAGGATCCGTCCGCGTTCCACGATGACCTGCGCCCCGTTTGTCCGTCTCACGATATAGCAAAAAATTTCCCAAGATGCGACTTGGGCTCCAAAAGAAGCCATCTGTCCACCTTTTAATGCCACTTTCATCCTCATCGAAGACGAAGACAGATCCCGAAGTGATCATCTTTCGTTCGGAATCTACCAAGCGACGTGTAACTCGGGGAATGAGGCCTCTCCTGGCTGCTTCGAGAATGAGCAGTGCATCACCGGTTGTTTCTATCCAGCCCGACCAGGGGGGTTCGGTCCATGTGCTAGAGGACGACTGATTGCTCCCCTGTTGCGCAGTGGACATGTATGGCTGAGGCACGCAAGCGCCGTCGGTTGAGGTTGTTCATGGGACACAGATGAAGGAGAAGAGAACGGAGAGGTGATGATGACCATAAGATATTAAAGTTTTAGATCAGGATTTTAGAGTTGGCTTACCTTGAAGTTGCGGAGGAGAAATTTGTGAGAGCGCGGTGAGATTGATTTGGACCCCGACAACACTTTGTTTGTCTGCCGTACCGCTTGACTTGCCTTTTCGCGTCCGCTCTTTCTAAAAAATATCTTGAACAAGAGCCCTTTAAGACCCTGCTAGCTTGCTTCTACCTTAAATGCAATCGCCTCCTCAAGAAACGACGAAACAATGAGGCGAAATTAGAGTTTCCACCTTGCAATGCTGACTAAGCAGAACCACTGGTCTCCGCCAATTCTTGACTTCCTGGCAACTCCCTAAGCTTGTCTATTTACTTATCCTTGCTCCCTCCATTGCCTTCATTAAACTCCGAAAATCTCCCGCGGCGTCCAGAGCTTTCTATTCCTTACATCCAGGCATTTTCTGGGCAGCTGAGCACCTGTTAATCATGCATCGACTGACATTAGCATGCGTATTGAGCGCCCCCTCCAACCAGGGCCAGTTGGACATTCGAAACACGCTTTGTCTGTGACCTATCAATTGGCCCAAAATTGGCTTCACTGTCCCTTTCCGGCTTCCTTTCTCCTGTAAGATTATCTTGGTTTCTCCGTTTTCATTCACATGTTCTCAACTTAATTAGGCGGATACATGATGTATCATACATCTATCGTACCACATACACCCTTGGTGTTACAGCATCTTCTGCCAGCGCTGCATCCACGTGCTCATCCTTACCCAACGTCTGTGTGCTGTAAGGCCAACGATGATGTTACCCAGACTCCCATCGGCGGCATTCCGTATCATTGAGTGGGAATTTGGTGGGAATTCCCTTTTGCAATCCCCGGATTTTCTATTGTGATGCTCGCCGCGACCCTTCCATGAAAGCTTTCTCTTATGGCCGCACTTGCTACACGGTTACGCCGGACCTCAGCGGGCGCCCCGTACGGCATGATAGATCTCCTAAATCACCGCGTTATTTCGCGGAGAGTGTGCGTAGCGCCGTTTACAAAATTCTCGAAACTTTCGCTTGGCTTCACGAAATCTGACTCAGAACAGAATCAGATGGGGTTTATGACTGTTCCCTTCTCGTCGGATACGTTCACGTCCACGCAAAAAAAAAATGCTCAAATTCGTTTGCTGGGCTGCTGTCATCTTGAATCCCTCGAGCTGCGACTTGCAGATCATCAGCCTGTCATCTATAATCAATTGCGTTGCCGCTTTCTCCAAGGACTTTGATCTTATTCAGGGGAGCTAATCACGTTTGATGTAGAGCGTGGACATGGAAAGACTTTTGAAGTGAGATGTCTCCTGATGTCTCCTTCGCACAGAGTCGGGATCGATTGCACACTTTCTGATTTGAATCATTGCGATCGGTTCCCTCGCTCGAAAATTTCTCTCAGTATTCTCCATTCGTGCAGATACCGGTGGCTGTCCCTATTACTCACGTTCGGGATGCTTCCCAAAGGTTACAACCCGACGTAATAGGCAAGAAGTGGTCCCTTGGCTTTCCAAGCTCACAGCAAAATTAGTTTCTCATCTTCTTTACGAAGCCGTCGACCTGTTTGCAAGGCCCGGACAGGCACAACCTTGGTCCAGAATCTGACCACTATGTATATTATATTCCTCGTATAAATTCATCCTCTCGGACGGCTCTTTGGCTCAATCTCGACGGGATGCCTCTCTCAAGGATCTCCTACGTGCTTTCAGTGCTCACTGTTATTCCTGTGAGTACTCGACGCGTCCCTTGTTTTGCGCCGCGCTGAAGGACACTCAGTTATCTTTTGCCTCACAACACATTCATTCAAGGCATCACCGTCGCCAAAGCCTCACTGTCCCTACTACTCTTCCCAACACATGGACCTCGCAAGGATGCGTCACGTACGTCGATCATTTCCGAGATTGACCCTTTTGCTCATCGCGCCCCTCTCACCCCACCCTGTAGTGATTCTGTCGGTGCGCGAACCTTAGGGGGCGCGTCGTACACCGATGGTGCTGGCATGACGATTGAGTCATGCATCGCTTTCTGTGATTCAAAATCTTTCACCTTTTCTGGGGTGGAATATAGCGTATGCCAGTTCCCCTCTCCTTGTTCCTTGTTTGGCTAAGAAACCCATTTTCATAGGATCAATGCTGTAAGAACGCTTCCTGACTTCTTACCATCCCAAACTCCACTCAACATCGTCGACCTCGTTTTTCTCATTAATGTAGACTGCGGAAACTCAATACTAATTGGAGCAGTCAACGCGACCGAATCTGACTGCAATATGCCATGCGCTGGAGATTCTGCCGAGCCATGTGGTGCTGCCAATCGTCTTAACGTATTTTGGAATGGCAAAAGCTCTTCTGCCCCCATCATCGTCCCTAGCGTTGGGAACTGGGTTTCACTCGGATGCTATAGGTGATCAATCGGCAATTGGGTTTCTTAACTCTAAATTAAGAAACTCACGTGTCCTTCCTTTACTCTTCAGTGATAACGTTGATGGGCGAGCCCTTCCTATTGCAGGTGCGGTCACTGGTCAGGTCACTATCGAATCATGCACTACTGCCTGCTTCAACGCCGGATATCAATTCTCTGGGGCGGAATACGCTGAGTATGTCCGTTTGTTTCAGTTTTCATACGTTGGTTGACTTCTTCCACCCCCAGCGAATGTTGTACGTCTTTAAGGTTATCATTTCGCATCACTATGTTTCTAATCTAATTTTGAAGATTGCAATACCGCAATCGTCAATGGTGGAGCACCAGCAGAGGCAGGGGACTGCAATATGCTCTGCGCTGGCAACAGCACCGAGTACTGTGGAGGACCAAATAGGCTCAACATGTACAACTATACCGGCACCGATCTTCCAACAATTACCGGTGGCGGAGGTGGGGGTGGAGGAGGAGGTGGTGGTGGTGGTGGTGGTGGTGGTGGTAAAACCACGACCGTTTTCCCAGTTCTTACGGGCCTTCCAACAAACTGGGCTTATAATGCTTGTTGGGTGTAAGTATCCGTTTTTGCTGATGACTTCCCTGCTTATCCAGCGTCAACAATAGAGATAATGCATTTGGTCGAATCGGCCCTGTCACAATCGCCGGAAATCCAGCCAACACCGTTGAGCTCTGCATAAATGAATGCATATCGCAAGGTTACACCCTCGCCGGAATGGAATACGCTGATGAATGCTGTGAGTATCTTTATCTCTCATCAACCCCCCTCGTTGATAAACTTTTATGTAGATTGCGGTGATAATATTGTTGCCGGAGCTGTTATCGCGACGGATAACGACTGTAATATGGGATGTGCAGGAAACGCTACGTACGTCGCATTAGTTAGTTGATTTGCCTGATCGCCCATTCGGCTCTAAATTTTAGGGAAGCTTGTGGTGGGCCTAACCGTCTGTCGGTCTATTCTAATGAGACTGTGGTGGCCTTGCCCGTTCCGGTTGCCCAGAAGACTGACCTTCCAGGAAGTTGGACATACGCAGGATGTTTAAGGTACGAGCTTTGAGCGTGAATAAACTCTCCACGTTTGCTCATCTCTTGCAGGGAACCCACCACGACCAAGATGTTCCCTAATCAAATCATTTGGCCTGGGAACAATTCTGCTGTGGCTTGCATGAACCAGTGCGCTGCATTTGGGTACCCTGCATCCGGTGTTGAAGTAAGCTTTCATTACGTCATGCATAACGTTTGCTGAATGCAAGTCACTAGTATGGCGAAGAATGCTGTACGTGTTGATTGTCTTCCAACGGATTTCAGGAGACTCTAATACCTGCGCAGATTGTGGTGATATCACAGATGTTGCCGCAAACGACGGCGTTTTCGGAGCAGAGTCCGAGTGCACAATGCCTTGTCCTGGCGACCCTCTTCATCTTTGTGGCGCAGGAAATCGTCTCAACACTTATTTCTGGAGTGGCACTTTGAATGTCTGGCACACGCCAACTAACATTGGCCGATATGAGGTACGTGTATGTTTCCTGTTTTCTGGTAAAGAGCGTTGAACATTTTTGTTTTTAGTTCTTTGGTAAGGCGACTGCAGCTGGCTTTGTTCATTCCTTGATTAACGAGAATCCTGTATGCTTTGTGAATAGTTCCTGGGTATGTTCTTCAAAAGTTAATTACTTTACATATTGACATTTCGCCGAACTTAGTGTTGTTGTTCCCTTGATCGCAACTCTTGGTAGAAACGGTAAAGTCACTTTCCTCGAAAAAGGTGGTACTGGGTGAGCGAAGACTTCCGTGCATGTACCACTCATCTTAAACCTCTATCTAGCTTCCCTAACTCCACGGGCGCATACGAGTTGGATCTCAGCCTATCAAGCAACTTTTCGGCCATGTGGCGAGAGATGCACATCAAAACCGACGTCTTTTGCTCCGGAAGCATTGTTATGCCGGACAAAGCAGCCCGCATCATCAATGTGGGTGGATGGTCTTTGGACTCAACCTTTGGTGTTCGGATGTACACGCCCGATGGAGGACCCGGCGTGAACTCGACTAATGATTGGGAGGAGGATCGGCAAGAGCTTTCGCTTCAAGTGGGGTTTCCTGTAGTTTGGTCAAGTTCTTACACTAAGCATCACTCTAGCGTCAGCGCTGGTACCCAACGGCAGCAACTTTGTCTAATGGCACAATCATGGTTATTGGCGGAGAGACAGGAAGCAATGCGTCTCCCGAACCCAACATGGAAATTCTTCCCAAACCTGCTGGAGGTGAAACCGTGATTTTTCTTGAGTGGCTCAATCGAACCGACCCCAACAATCTATATCCCTTCGTCATCATCCTTCCCAGTACTCACGTCTTCGTTGGTGAGTGATCATCTTTCCATTTCTGGGCTTGCTGGCTAATCAGGGCGTAGCTTACTATAATGAGGCCCGGATCCTTGATCCAGTCACATTCGACACGATACTCCAGCTCCCGAACATCCCTGGTGCCGTCAACGATTGTAAGCGTTCTATTTGTCGTCGTTGGGATCTTCCTCATTTGTGCTCTAGTCCTCGCTGGCCGTACATATCCTCTAGAGGGCAAGTTCGTTTCGTTTAACTGAGCTTCCTTTTGACACGCTTTTTCACAATAGGTTCGGCGGTTCCCCTTCCACAACATGCACCCTATACAGACCCACTTGAGGTTTTGATTTGTGGTGGATCTACTATTGGTGCTGGAATCGCACTAGACAACTGCGTGACTATTGCTCCGGAGGCTTCGAACCCCACATGGACATTAGAAAGGATGGCAAGTCGGCCCTCTTCCAAGATCTGGCCTCACAATCCTGACTACGTTTCGCAGCCTTCCAAGCGTGTTATGCCATGCATGGTCGCCTTGCCGGACGGTACTTACATGATAATGAACGGAGCTCACCAAGGAGTCGCAGGTTTTGGTTTAGCTAACGACCCGAACTTCAATGCTGTCTTATACGACCCGACCCTGCCCGTTGGCCAACGCATGGCCATCCTCAACAGCACTATCGTCGCCCGCATGTATCATTCAGAGGCGATTCTGTTACCTGACGGACGTATTCTTGTCTCAGGTTCTGATCCTCAAACCAATAACCCTGATGGCACCGTCAAGTATCCAGAAGAATTCCGCATTGAGGTGCTTTCTATTTTCCTGTCATTATTATTACTAAACCCCTCTCATCTGCCTTCGCAGGTTTACATTCCACCATACCTCAATCAAGGATTTCAGCAACCAACCTTTACGGCCCCGAACACCGATTGGGCTTATGGTGAAACAGTCACTATCACAAACGTGCAGCTTTTCCAGGGAACCACCGCGACATTGCGCGTATCCCTTATTGCTGGTTAGCATGCCCATCGATTTTGCTCTTGCTTTTGCTTACGCCAGGTTTCCACAGCTACATCGAGTACCCACGGAAACACTATGGGAGCGCGGACGATCTTCCCCGCCTTCTCATGTTCCGGAACCATATGTACAATCACTGCACCTCCGAATGCCGGCGTCTCACCACCAGGTTGGCACCAGCTATTCATTTTAGATGGACCAACGCCCTCCCATTCAACCTGGGTCCGTATTGGAGGAGATCCATCGCAATTGGGCAACTGGCCACAGCTCCGAGGTTTCACCACCCCCGGTATCTAACATTAAATTAATGCGTAACTTTTTCGCCCCCTTCTATGAACTTTGTTTATGACAATACTATATTATGGCTTCGGACTACCTCACTTTTACCCTCCACATGGGACAATATCGGTTTATCTATTGCTCAGCTCTCGTTTGCTCGTACTTGTAACGTTTCGTACACTGCAGTTTACCTAGCAATAAGGCTGGAATTCTATTAGTGTTTCCTCCAGTGGTCGTGTGGTGAGGCCGAGGAGCGGCTTGATCAACTCAGGCTGACGAGAATAAATGGCCTCTCCACTTATCTTGTCCCTCTCTTCAACTTTCTGGAATACGCGACCCAGGGAGCTTTTCAACATGCACCTCAGACGAGGTTAAATCCCTGGGTCAAAAGACCCTTAGGAAACAATTGGCAGCCCCTGGGATCCTAGTTGTAACTTGTCACGACGGAAGGAGGTTGAACGAGATACCTGACTTTACCCATTGGATATTCAACCTTCAAGGAAATGCATTGAGCTATGTACTAACAGCTCCTTTACATCACGTATTGCAGAGTACATATCCAACCATGTAAGGTGGCATTTCGTGGTTGCGTACATTTTAGTTTCTGATTGGATTCAATAATAAACAAGAATTTTCAGCTTGTTTCAAGCCCCGTCCGACTTTATCATTGGAATGAGCTCGAGGGTGCTTTCCTCCTGAAAAACATCAGCCATTCGTCCACTCATCTCGGCAAAGGTCTTGTAGAGACGTAAAAGTTCCTTGCGTTCCAGGTTACGGAACCTATTGGAGAGTCTTGATTGGATGTAAGGGGTGATGGGAATGACCACGCCTCGACTATGCACATCGTCTAATGATTCGCGCTTGAGGAGAACAATCGTGTGAGACACGAAATCGGTCCCAAGGTCCGCACAGGGAGCGCTTATGACCAGTGATTCGAGTTTGTCTGATGTGATCTTTGAGATTGCGGTGTCAAGGTCTTGTTACGATACAGACTCATAGCCATAGGGTTTAATTGATATTCGATGCAGAGGCGAGGGATAGGACCAAGCCGATCGAATATTTCGTTCGTGCGAGACTCGTTGGCGCGGCCTAGGGGGTTTATCGATGCACTACAGGTCCTCAAGGTGTGAGCTTTGTCGCAAGGTCAAATGCTGGACTCACGCTCGTAATATTTCTTTCCTTTTCCAAGGATTCATAATGACCTTTGCCATTTGCACCGTCTTGTGTAGACGCGACCACCTATCATGGCGCGGAGAGGTTGAGAAGATGACAAAAAGTCGAGTCCCATGCGAGACTAGATATTCGGGAACGCCCTCCGTGGCCTCATCGGAATCGACCAAGGTCCAGATGATTTGTTTGAATTGAGCTGTCATGAAATCGGCAGGCAACTTGTAGACACCCTCCTCCACAAACAAGTAGCAGCACTCTTGGTAGTACCAAATGACCGGTTTCTTTTCGGCAAGGCATCGGCGCAAAGCGTAATAGACCCATACACTCTTACCTTTATGGAACGGTGTAATTTTTGAAACAATCCGAGGAGGCGACAAGCTCACCGATCCCTGGTTGGCCTGTGACAACTACACAGGGCGCCCTACCCACCACCTTGGTGAGTTTGTCATAACGAGCATTAGCGAAATTGAAAACACGGATGTATTCGGCTCGAATCCACAATTTTGAGAGCTCGAGTCCATCGATGTCGATGTCGAGCATATAACAACCGGAAATGATATCGTCGTCTGGGTCCATTGTCGATACCTCATCCATGGTTTCGTCCACAACCGCTGTCTCATTCACAGCCGCCTGAAGCCACTGCTGCTCCTCGACCGCCATGCTCTTGTTCCAAAACTTTGCATGCAACAAAGCAAGGGGATCATCTCCATCGAGTCTCGGCCATGGTTGCTCATAACTTGGAATTCTGACGACCGACGCGAATGTTGATTCAGATACCTGTTCAGAAGACATAGCAGTAGTAGGATGAGCCCAGAGCACAGCCACGCTCCCATTGGCCAGGTTCTACATACTATGTAAAGTTACAAAGTTGTAATGTAAGTCTAGTGGACGTAACTAAACATTTAGCGAAGAAAGTCCGTGTAAGTCAGACGTGGGGTCAGAAGGGTCCGAGTAAAGAACATTATAAGTCTTGGGCAGACGAGAGATATCGATATCACCAGCAAAGGGTCACTGACAAACATGAGTAAGTGAGGGATGGTCCAATAATAATGAATGTATGTCCGTGGAGGAGTAAAGAGTGTCAATACGAAAAGATCATTAGCCAGGGGTTGAGAACAATCTATGACCAGACCAATTAGAGGTTTTTCTGTGAACGCGACATCAAGGGGGACTCACAGGAAACAGAACATGGCCTCCAGCAACGATTCTTCAAAGAATGTTTAGTAGTTGAACCTATGAGGTTTGAGGATGGTTCGACTCACGCTAGGGGCAAAATCACGGCCCAGTCTAATCCGGGAATTCGCCAGCCAGGAGGGACCAGGGAAGTCGAGAGGATAATCATCCCAACGATAATGGCAAAACCCAGTCCAAGGGCTAGCCAAAAACGTTTAACGATTCTGGGAACCTCAATCCAAAAGTTCGACCTTTCCACCTCCTAGTGAAGAAAAAGGTGAGATTTACATACTGGCACTAGCTTAGCGCAAACCTTTTTGGTAGCACCCCAGGTGATGTTGTAAGAGAAAACGTGGGCAAGGAGGGCGGTCGATAGGTGGATGCTCAAGCCTCCGAAGAAAAACATGCTGGCCAGGTCGTCAATGCGAAGAAGTCATTGTATCATGGAAGGAAACGTACAAGAAGGGAATCCATGTGATATTCTCGATGAAGGAGGAGAAAATGTCCCGCTGGCCAAGACGGTATTCCAGCAACGTGAAACCGAGATTTCCAGCCCCAGGAAAGACGACCGTGCAGGCGAGCCAGATTTCGAAGCTATGCAAGTAGAAGCCGTCGACCTCATACGCAAAGCCCAAAAGGAGGTAGTTGAGTACGGAAAGCACAGCGGAAGCGGCAATGCCGTAGTAAGAGAACATGTAGGACATCATGCTGATTTTGTAATGGACAGGTGCGTTCGACCACAAGAAAGTTCGCAGTTGTTTCGTGATAGGCCCCAGTCTCCACCAGTCAATGAGCGGATTGAAGATAAGTTCATTGCAACCTAAAAGGCGATAAGATGGGGGGGACGTCACTAGAACAACAAACAAACCATATGAATACTTTTGCCATCGATTAAGTTCATCATCCACGGTGAGTGATACACCTTCTTTGAAACCGCCTTCAGAGTAGGCGGCCCATCGAATAATATACCCTTTCAACTGAAACGATGATCAATTTAATAGAGGGGCGCTCAATGAGAGAAAGGCGTACCTGGAGGCGCAAAGCCATATCAAAGTCCTCAGATACATTGGATTCAGACCAGATTTTCTCAACACCGTCTGTGTCAACGAACGCAGCGTCTTGCAAGGCAGACCACCGAAGGAAAGCATTGTGTCCAACGAAGGGCGCTACTTCTCCGTTCGCACATCCCATCGAGATACACTTGTTGATCCGGCGTGTAAAATGGGCAATGCCATTCTCGAAGTAGTGGTGTGCAACTTGCATTACGTCTTCAGGGGTGAAATTATAAGAGGTCCTTAGTCAGGAGATGTAGGCTCACCCACCGGATTCATGTTGGATGATGCCCACTTCAGGGCATTCAGCCAACTCGCGAGCGGCATCCCTGAAGCAATCCTAGTGATAGTAATGAGCCTCCTCTATCTGATCTTAAAGAGGAGCACGGTACCTCTGGAACGGTTGTATCAGAGTCCACAATTAATATGATGTCACCAATTCGGAGTGATCTAGCATTGCTGGCCCACGGTTTCCACTTCTGGCCATTCGCTTGATAAATCTCTTCGATGGCAAGATCCAGCGCCCTCTCCTCCAACGACTTCTCACCGTCAACTTCGTCGGTACTTTCATCTGCGGCCTCTAAAGCAAGGATGTGCTTCTCCACGGATAAAGATAGCTGCGCGATCGTTGATAAACTTTTCAATTCAAGGCTAAGGAAAGGCATACCTGGAGGCCATAGTTCATATTAGAAGCCTTCTTGAAGCGTCCAGCACGTTTGTAACCATCTGGATCGTTGGAATGAGGTGGACGAGCGACCCAGCCAATGTTATGATCAGCATAGAAAGAGATACGCTTCTCCTTCTCCTCTTCGCTCATAGATTGCAAACCATCGTCGTGGACGAAGATAGCCGATGTGCCCCCTTGCCTTGCATACGTTTGCATTGCTCTCTTGAGAGAGAAGACGGAAGGTGCGCTGCATAAGGACAGAAAGTATAAGTGAAATGAAACCATGAGGAGAGGAAGTCTAAAAGAGAAAAAGGCAGTAAAGATGCTAGAACGGGGAATAGAATGGCCGATGCACGTATATCAGCTACTGATATTGAGAATTAGGTGTACAAGTTTGAAGGTGCCGGCAAAATGATGAAGTGACCGGAAAATCAACGGGACCGGACACTCACATAGTCTCTTCCAAACTTTCCTTGTACACTGGTAGTTCGACAGTTATGTGGGGAAGTTTTGAATCGACTTCACGATTTGGTTCGGGTTTGACAGCGGAATAGTAACGAGAGTTTTCGTGATACTGAGCAACAGGTCCAATACTACCACGATGTCAGCTTGACTTCGAAAGCATGACAGGAACTCACGTACACAAACGACAAATTCGCCACAATTTGCGACGAGAAGAACTGATGACTATTGAGCAAGGCAATGCTGCAGCTTTAATCACCAGGAAGCTCACCAATGATACACAAAGAAGAAATGGGGTGGCGGCGAGGAGAGCGAACCGCATGTAGCTATGATCCAATCTAAATTCTTGTAGTAAAATCGACAGACCGCTGGCGATGAAGACTAAGATGTAACGGACATGAGTAATTATATGCGGAGAGAACAGGGTACTCACAGATTGAGAGAGCGCACCCTAACCCTCCGTAGACCGGTGCAAAGAGGCGGATAGGTCGGGCCTGCGGGCCAGCAGAGCCTTTTTCAGGATCACTTAAGGTCTTGGCTGAGGATTTTTTTGATGATAATTTCCAACTCCAAAATTTACGTTCAGGCTGTGGCGCCTCGTTTTCAGCGGTGGCATTCTCCATCTTGGTTGCGGCTTTCATGACGCCGTCAGATGCAATAGCGGCTTTCTCGTTGAGATTAACGTCGGAGGCAGTCGCTGAAGGAGCGGAGGATGTGTTGATTGAGGTGATGAAGGATGGGCTGGCGACCATGCTGCGCGATTGCCACACCAGCTTCATAAGCTTCTCGTCAAATTCATTGCATAATGGGACAATGTGGTCAAGGTCGTCGGACCACACGATGAGGACTCGTTCGTCACGCTAGTGTGGCGATGAGAAATAACCTGAGCTAGAACCATGGACACAACCTACAAGGAAAGCGCCACATTGCTCTTTCTCGGCCTTGGGAAGGTGGCTTACAGTCTCGAGGATTTGAATACGAGTGTTCGCATCAATGTAGATAGCCAAAGCATCTTCTGCACTACGGGCGACCACGTTAGTTTTGAGGAAAGAAAAACGTGGGGTTAACGCAACTCACACAGTAGCCAACGCAGAGTGAACAGCAGCGCTTCGGACTTTGACAGCAACGAGGGGGTTCAGACCGCGGACGGCAGCCTCAAACGGTGCCAAGAAAGGGTTCTCGTAAGGGAAGACACGAAATTGGCCTGGGTCCACTCTTAAGCAGACTCCCGCAGAGATGTTCTCCTCTGAGGGTTTAAACCAGGCGTCTCCTTGGGTCTAGGGAAAATAGGTAAGTTATAAAATTTACGAGTAATAGGCGAGCCGACTTGGCCAAATCATGGAAGATATGGAAGACTTACCGCTCGGAAAATCCAGTGTAAAACAGCGTCGAATGAGTCGTAGTCCATGGTACCTAATTATGAGCTGACGACGGGGAACGAAAGCCTGGGTCGCGTAAGGTAAGGTGAAAAGGCGTTTACAGGTCCCAAAAGAATTGTTAAATGAGGCGGGAGTATAAAAGAGAATCGGTCAGCGGAACCCAATCAGACGTTGTGATTTCTTTGGTAAGTCCTGCACCGAAACGCGACTTCCATCCAAGGCAGGAATCGAGACTCCTAGATTCGGTGAGGTTATGGTGGCCACCCGAAAGGCGATAAACGTTTTCAAAAGGAGGGTTGATGGATATGATCAGGACAGGGAAAACTTTTCTAGGTCAAAGAGTCGTAAAGATAGGAACGGGTCCCACAGATGTGTTGTGCGTTGTTCCTTGAAGCAAACCGCTTTTCCCCCCCTGATATGATCGGATTATTAGGAGGACCGTTAAAAGCACTATTTAGGTCTGATCCTGCGGAGATTTCAGAAGCTCCCTGAACCCGTGAGAGGAGACTTGTGCCAAAGAAGCGTAAGAGGGCTTCGACTACACTCCAGATTTTTTTGGGGATTTAATGGGCGTGTACTTCCGCATAATTGAATCGAACCAGCTAAGCGGTTGATGAGACAACGTGCCTCGACAGGTTGAGTTGGCTGATGGCAGATGCGTCGCATTTTGCTATCAAATTCTGGCCACCCCTTTGCTCAGCGCGGGCGCCAGGATGCCGCGAGTTTCGTGCGAAAGTACATGCGAACATTGTCAAGTTCTCCAGCAAGAAATTAGCCAAAGTTTGAGACACCGTGGTTAGAGTCAAGGTTGACGTTGACGCGTTGACGTGCGATCTTTGTTGGATTTTTGTGTGATCTGGCTCATAGGTGTGCTTCTTTGGCTATGTTTACCAAAGCCCTTAAATTTACCTCCACAGCTTTCGTAAGTAATTTCACAGGTTTGGAAATAATCGAGTTTAAAAATATTTTTACTATAGTCTAATCGGGGCGCACGGGTGCCTGGGGACGAAATATTCTCCTCTCCCCGAGATACTCCTAGTCTCGGAGACTAGCGATTTCCAGTGCGGGCGAGCCGTATACTTGAGACTCACCCACGGGGGGAGCCACCTCAAGTTGTAAGACAACTCCCTCGTCTTACCTCCACTCGAGCTTGCTATCGGTTAGCTCTCGTTTGCGCGTTTACCCACCCTCCTGCACCCTCTTTTGTTATGTATTGATTAGGACAACGCTACCATCAATGGACATTTTTCTTGCGAGTTTCTCCAGGCGCACAGCGCCTGGGGGACTCTGCATACACCTATTTATGCCTTTACTTAAGATTTCAAACCTTTGAACCCTCCCACGATTAGCCCTGGAATGAGAGATAAGACTGTTCCTTGAACTTGTGTTTCCAGTTTGATCATGTCAAGCTTGAAAAAATCGCTAAAAATCGTTGAGCGTACGTTTGGCCACACAGCTGCACTAAGTAGATCGGGGATGGTCAAAGATATCTGCGAAGGCCATAGTTCAAATAAATGCTCTCACGATACCATACAAGCCCTAAAACCCTATATGTGTGTTATTTAAAGTGAGCAGCACCCTTTGTTGCAGACGCAACGTAAACCTGCAAAAAACGCTTTACGTTTCTACCCCTTTCTACCCTAAGCAAGAAAGTGACTAGACGCTAGCGCGTTTAGTGCGAGGTATTCGAGAGTTACGCAATATTAGATAAATATTAGAATCCTGATATTCTGGCGGCTAGGTTTCTTGCATCAAACGTTGAAGTGACCCTGAGTCTGATAGTAGCTAGTTCTCTCTCACAGTAGTCCAATCTATTGTATTTTTTGAGCCCGTTGACTTACTCAAGTCTAGAACTCAAATTGATTTCCGCTCGAAAAAAAAATAGACCGAGTCGGTCTTCCGTTCCAACAATGGCGAATACATCCGATGAACACGTTCGGCCCTTGTCCAAACCTGACCGTTCTGAGAAGAATTTGGTAACTGGAATTTGCTCCGAGACGTGTACAAACAAAGCTCCGGTTATCCACTATACCTCTCACGAACGTCCTCGACCTCATATTGAATGCCAGCGAGGTGATACTTCGGCGTTACAACTCGCATTTCAAAATTCACAACATACTTGAGGAGTGCGCTGAAAAAATGCATCTATGACTTGCGTTGTAGTAGGGTTAGTGCCTGTAAGTGCCAGTGCAGGTGGTGAGTAGTAAACTTCGTGTATTTACACTTGTTTGAGCTACAAGCCATTGCCGTTTCCGAAGAGGTTTGAGTTGCGACAAAACTTCCAGTCAGTCACCCAATTTTCACCACCAGCCAGCGCTGATCTCTGCTTTCTAAACAAGTAACATTGCGTTTATACAAGGCGTGTAGCTCGTCGGTCACAGGCTGTTTTCTCAGGGAATACCATCAAACTTCTTCAATTCGATCTCTAGTTGATCTCTAGTATCCCCGACTTCGGTATCCTGTTCCCGTGGCTTCTCGCCGAATTTGGCTTCAATCCGCGGCTTTTACCCTTGATCTTGAACGAATGCGCTAGCTGGCATACATGTCTTCAGAAAACAAGGCAGGCACGGCCCTCGCAGAATGAAATTTTGTAGGTTATTATTCTTCACTCACTCTCAGCTTTGCTGGTGGTAGTCGCCCTTGTATTTGACTCGTTATGCGGGATTACTGCGAGCTGCTTTACGGAGCTGGAACTCATGCGTTACCGCCTAACGGCTGACTGGGTTTCCAATACAGTGCGTGATTGATGTGCGTATATACCGGCGGATGTCCAAGAAGCAAAACCAACATGAGGATCGAAAAAAAATCGGAGCAAGGCGTCTCAGGAATGCTATGCTTCTGAGTGGATTTTTCTTTTTGGCGGATGGTGAATCTATTCAACTGTTGAGAGAGGTGTGAAACGCTCTCTTTTCGGTCTCGCTGACCTGTGCAATGTCCACCTGTTTTGTGACTTGGATCTTATATGGGGATGAATTGCTGGGTGTAGCATCATCATCAATTTTCAAGGTGAGTCGTCTGTCACCCTTTACCACACGTCTGTGTCAACGTTGAGGCTCGCACACTTAGGGTTATCTATTTCTTTTCTGGGCCGCACTACATCCTATCCAGTGCTCCGGAATATCCTTGTTCCCGCGATGATAAGAACTTGTACGGCTACTTTCGAGCCTGGTCTGTCAGTCAAAATACAGACTATTGGGCGGATAGTTGACTGCTGTAGAATTTTCTGGCTCTTTCTGATCGTAAATGATTTTATCCGCAGCCGCAACTGGTGAAATCCCAGGTTTCAGTCGGATAGGCAAACAGCGTATGGGATCATTCCAATCAATGCTTGTGATCCAACCACGCCGTTTGGGTTCTTCGAGGCCAGGAACAACCAAAATTGTCGAGGCTGGTGAAGAAATCAACGCGCCCAAGAATAACTTATAATCTCGCGACTTGCTGTCGGCCTTTTTAGCTTTGCTCATCTTCCCTCCACGCAGCTCCAGCTGATCGACTTTTGCGTCATGTCTGCCCCACCAACGAACGAGGAGGCGCTCTCAGAGCCACATCCAAAATTCGTCATTGAGGGTGGTAATGAAGGGGATGAGGGCCACGCCTTCTTTCACTCTCGCAATACGTCGGGCACCCATTCAAACGCCGAATCTCCTACCATGACTCCTCGCAGTCTGAGTTTCGGTGCGGTCACCAATCCATTCTCCCCTCCTGCAAGTGTTGCCAGCTTCAGCAGCCCCGAATACACTCCAGGATGGTCGCCTGCGTCGCAAAGTCCTCAACCCCACTATCCATTCCCAGAAATTAGGCCCCGCAGTAGCGGCGTCAATTCTGTCTCAACCAGCATAGCGGACCTCTCTCGTTCGTCCTCGTCACTTAATGGTAACAGTCGCCCAGGGACTGCCGACTTCGCGCCGCCTGTCCGCACTTCGTCGGGGTTCCGCTTGCGAGAGTCGTTTGCCTCTCCACGAACACGCCCCTTGACGATCTACAGCACTGCGCAGGGGTCTGGAACCAAAGTTCAGCGAGACCGGCCCAAGTCTACGATGCTAATGTCGACCACGACTTTGAGCAAACCGTGGCTTCAGACACGTGACCCTTATACCCGTATTGCCTACTTCATAACTTACGGGGTTATGATGATAGGAGTCGCTGCTGGTGCGTTTCGCTGTTGGTTAGGTTGGAACAGCGTTGCTCTCCTTGAGGGTAATCTTTGCCCTGTACTGGATGAGAACTTTGATTCCTCGGACGGCATTTTCGGTGACAATGGCAAGTTTTTCCGTGAAGTAGACATGAGCGGCTTTGGGTGAGTCATTTCGTTGAAAATGTCTATCTGTGTCGAAAACTGATGTTATGATAGTAACGGCGAATTTGAGATGACAACTGCCTCGGAGAACAATTCATTTGTGCAGGATGGATTCCTATATATTTCGCCGACTCTCACGTCGGATAACATCGGCGGAGCCGCTGTTGTAGATGGCACTGTTTACAACATAACGGGATGCACCTACAACACTACCCAGGGTCTTTCATACACGACCGCCACGACGCAGGTTGTGAATACCAGTCAGACCTTCAACATTGCTGAGTATAACAAGGCGTGCTCCGCCGTTAGTAATTCCACTAGTGGGAAGGTTATCAATCCCGTCCAAAGCGCCAGGCTCAGTACTCGATACAGTGCCAGTATCAAGTATGGCCGTGTCGAAGTAAGAGCTAAGAATCCTACCGGGTATGCTGAATCGTTCATTGATTTGCACGAAGCTGATTCTTCTTCGACAGGGACTGGGTAAGGATACTGGATGCCCGTTATTCCCTCTCATTAACTTCTTTCACACTAGTTGTGGCCTGCCATCTGGATGCTTCCCGTCGACAACACATATGGCCCATGGCCTTTGAGTGGTGAGTTTTATACCTTCGAATGGGTTGGCTCCGACGTCTTGGCGGTCATCACACCTCATGGTCGCCCACGTTGCATTGGCTCCTAAATATTCATATCGCTTCGTTTACTTTACCAGTCTTGACCTCCTGAGTGCGGTTCTCTGACGTATTGTTCCCTCCTCTTCAGGCGAAATAGATATCATGGAGGCACGTGGTAATGGGCCAAGCTACCCCAAGCAGTTTGTTACTTATATCGTTCTCATCCATAGAGTTGCTGAATATGATTTAGGGGAAGCAATTACGTTCGCGGGTCTTTGAACTGGGGCCCACTAACATGGCTAAACGCTGTTTCCAAAACTTACGGTTGGCGGGTGATGCATCGAGGCAGCTATGACCAGGACTTCCATACCTACACCCTGGAATGGGATCAAAGCTTCATGTGCGTTATTCTTTTCAGGATTTGAAATAACTTTGACAGACGATTCATTTTAGACGAATTTACGTCGACTCTCGGTTGCATCACTATCTTGATCTCAGAATGAATGAAGACTTCTGGAAGCGCGGAGACTTCCCCGCAGTCGTTCAGAATGGCTCGGAAGCAATCATTCTTGACAATCCATGGGTTAATGGAACCAAAGCTGCTCCTTTCGATCAATGTGACTGCTATGTTCTCGTCAACGAGATTATAGGCTGACAAAGATGGTATTAGCGTTTTATCTCATCCTGGATGTCGCTGTCGGTGGTACAAGTGGCTGGTTCCCTGATGGCTCAGAAAAACCTTGGTTGGATGGATCTGCAAGTACGTGTGTCTCTCTGCCTGCTGTGCAGATTATTGATCAATTTTTTATAGCTGCGATGGGTGATTTCTGGTCTGCCAGGAGCCAGTGGTCGCCGTCTTGGCCTTCTGACGCTCGCGACAGAGCGATGGTTATGTGAGTGGAGATTTTTTCTGAACAATGTTGAGGTTAGCTTATTCGTTGCGAAACGTAGTGATTACGTCAAAATGTGGCAACTGTGTTAAACATGAAGGATCCACCATCTTCCTGATTTATGATCTCAAATTGGACAGCTAATGCCGGTGATACATCGAAGGCGTTCTCGTCCAAGCATACGTATACCTCTCACTCTTTTACAAGATACACCTCCTTAATCATTTTACTTTACCTATCTATTCTCTATTCCAGCCTTCCTATTTATGTAGTTTAAGTTGGACACGTCCGCGCCCCTCTTTCCAGAATCGATGTTAACTTGTGCGTACAGTAGTTGTCACAACCGAGCTCCTTCCCTGAATCCAGACAATATCGCTCCAGTCAAACGTCCTTGTAAGAATTGCGTCATGACAATGCATTGACACCATCGAGAAGTAGATTCGTTCGATTTAACCTGTGGGTTGATTGCTGGCGCACACCTGGAAGCTGCGCATGATGTGTTTATACGCTGCTTCAGGGGTGAGAACAAGCTTTAAGCTCTCAAACATGGCTGCCTCACGTCCTGGTTGACAAGAGAGGCGGACTCCAAAGTTGTGACGCGTATGCGACTTCAAATGCCCCTTAATGCTGAAGCTGAAATCACTGACGCCTCCAGGGGATCTGGTAGATCGGATCAAGTTGACTTTTTCGTAGTTTTGGAGCTTGAATGCAATCCGAAGGCCAGTTGGTCGATACTACTTGAGTTGGCGGGAGTGCTATAGCATTCCGAATGCAGGAACGTGTACGCAGGGATTGTCATGAATAGTGGGCATGGCTTCACAATTACATTGTCCAGCTAATGCATGGCTCAGCCGGCACTCAACGCAAAAACGGTCAGGAAGAACGCACTCGTGTACATAAATGGTGCCTGTGGTTTGTGGTATAAACTATCGATTCGCCTGCATTTGGGGATGCGCTTCTGGTTGGGTATTGGGTGCTCTTTCTGAAATTAAGGGTTGACGCTCTGCAGGATCGTCACTTCCACCTGAATGATCATCACAACATTTGCTCCTGCATAGATTCTCTGTACATCCGTGTCCTGTGGAGTCTCAGACACATTCTGTAGAGCGAGGAATATTTGAGCATACGAATCGATAGAAAATCCAGACAAAACCCAGCAGCCACTTCACAACAGATTGTTACAAGGATTCCACATGGTTGCTCGGCCATATCTTGAACAGAAATTTGCGCGTTATATGTCCATATAATTCCTAGAAAAGTGCCAGTGGGTGCCCGCTGGTGGGATGGTGTGCTTAGCGTTGGTAAGGAGGTTATCGTTTGGTCTTATTTATGTCCCTCCTTAGAATTTGATCTTGGACCCTTGAACGCGGCTTCTTTCTCTTTCCTTGTCAACGCCGACGCCATCAACTTATGGAGGCCATCTTTCCACCCATCCGAGGTCGAGGACGTGGCATCATCGTTGGTGACCCAGGTCGAGGGGGGCGGCCACACTCTCGAAATAAGCACTGGACGCCAGGCGAAAATGCACGAAGCAATACGCCCACCCATTCTGATGGCGAAAGGTGGGAAAGAGGGGGGCATAGAGGCGGAGGTCGAGGCTCGAGGGGTAGCGGTCGTGGAGTGCCTCGCAAGTTCCCCAATGTATCTCTTCGCGTCAACCAAGGATCAACAAAGGGGAAGGAGCGGGCCACGAACGAATCGGAGGCAGAAGTCATCGACGTAGAGGCTGAGCACCACGTTGAAGAGGCTACGAACGAAATTGATGAACCCGAACTCGAAACTCAGGAAGAACGCGAGAGGTTTTACCAAGAGGTGGGTGTGATGTTCTTTTCTAAGCCGTTAGTTGCTAACGCCTTCCAGTTGGTGAAAGCACGTGAAGCCGAACGGAAAAAAGCCATTGCGGAGGGGAAAATGGACGATCCTCTCGTTCCGAAACGTCTCGAGGATGCAATATCCATTGTTGGGACATGCCACGACATGTGTCCACGTTTTGAACGCTATCGACGGGAACGAGAGAACAACCTATTTGAATGGGAGACTGTGCGTTCATCTTCCAATTATAGCTTTTCGATACATCTACGCTGACGACCATATAGATTCCCGGAACGAAGAGGGTTGATCACAAACGGGCGGTGAAAATGTATGAGCGTGCTGCTGGGGACAAAATTTTGCCGTCCGATTTGCGACCACCTTTTGTTCTGAAGGTACGCATTCATTTACTCTTTGAGAAGCGCCATGCCTGACTGAGTATCTTGCAATAAAAGCGAACCTTGGATTATCTTTTCCATGACCTTCTTCCACGAGGAGGTCTATCAAAAACCGCCACCTTCATCCGTGATCGTTCTCGAGCAGTTCGAAATGACTTCACTCTGCAACATATCACTAATTCTCTTGCGATTGAGTGTCATGATCGATGCGCTCGATTCCATATTCTTAGTTTGCACTTTGAGGGCCACAAGCCCGGATTCTCTGTCCCGCTGGAAGATCAGCAACTAATGAACAGTGGGCCATCCCACTTCTTTTGTCAGTTCTCGAACACTCATCTTCAATCCCTGAACAGCATTGCAAAGTCTAAAAGAGTTTTATGACACCGAACGCGGTCGATATGAAGCGCCAACCGAGATGGAAATGCGTGTGTACCACAGGCTCATCCACATTCGAGACCAAAGAGAACGCCATGAAAATATACCAAATCACATCACCTCTCACCCCGTTTTCAAGTTGACGACTGATTTTCGTTTGCATGTGCAGCACAAGAGTGCTCCGATCACCAAAACTTCTCCACTTGTCGTTGACGCAGAGGCCATGGAAATCTTCAGTCAATTGGCGAGCGTGCTGAGGGACCAGGGAAGTGTGGTGATGATCTACATGGTCGCATGTATCCTGGAGAGGTTGTTCGGGAGGGAGACGATCGATGATATAGAGGCCATCAGGGCTGACTTGACGATTCCGGACTTGATTGACGGAAATTCTACCGGCAGTGGGGCTATCAACGGGATTTACGAGGCTAATGGTGATGAGGAAATGCATGACGACGAGTTTGTGGACGAAGATCATGAACATGATGACCAACTTCTCGAAGAACCCGTTTCCGCCCCCATTCCTGTGAAGCCCAGTACTGCTGAGTGGTCATCGTCCGCGTTTGGCTCATGGCCGTCAAGCTCAGCTGCCCCAGCGTTTTCTGTGCCGACTCCCTCCACTGCGTCCAGTCCATTTGCCGCCCCCTCTACTGCAGGTTCTGCCTTTGCGAGTATCACAACAACTCCCAATGTCTTTGGAACCCCCTCGGTATTCGGCACCTCTCCTTTCCAGCCAGCCATTCCACCCAACCCGCCGAAACCCATCTTTGGACATACACCATCGTCAACTGCGGGTCTTCCATCTCAAAACTCACCCCTCCCGCAATCCGGGGATTCCACAGTGAACCAATCTAGCGTTCCAATCGGCAACATTTTTGGCGGGACAACGCCCTCATTCCCATTACCAGGTTTGCACCAAATCGTCATATTTCAAGTTATACTGACCGTCTCTTATGATAGACCCCAATCCACCACCACTTACTCAACCCCTTACCGCGCGAACCTCTCTTACTGAGAGACCTAAGTTAATATTTGGGGGACCACCTGCTACAAACGACTCGTCCTCAGCTACTATCAACAGAAGTGAGAGCGTTCTTTCTTCGAACACAATTCCCAACTTCTTTTCATTGAATCCTAACGCTGCACCATATGCACCGCCCCCCGCCAACCAATCCATCTTATCTCCGTCTATGCCTACCACCACAGCAAAGGAGACGCCATCCAATGGCATTCCCACGATGCCAATGACTTTATCTAGGTCACCGTCCTCTTTGGCTGATACAGCCCGCGGTTCGACTCCATCTCTAAAAATCGACACTAGTGCTCCGGCCAGTCCCACTGTCCATTCCGTCCCGTCGCCCAAAGTACCACCACAACTCTCTCGAAAAGCCCCCATATCCCTTCCTTCCACACCAACTACTAACTTCCTGCCATCTAGCGCACTGGTTGCTCATCTTAGGGATAATGTGTCAACGCCAGTCCTGACTCCTGGCCCTTTAAGCCCCCTGACGTTGCAAACACCAACGCCAACGCCTAGTACATCGCATATTCATAATTTCTCACCAGCGCCAAGAAAGACCAAGGGTTTGGGTCTCCAACCCACTCTGAGTGCCATCAGCCTCAACGGCGAGAGTAAACCTCCTCCTCAAGTCGTCGCTAAATCGTCAGATAAATCTCGTGCGGTCTTGGAAAAGAAAGCGTATGATTTTTACCAAGCGAGTCTCTCCAAGAGGTCCTACGGACGGTGGAAGAAGAAGTTCGATACAAAGGCGGAGTGGATAAAGGCATATCAACGTAGTGATGCTTATCGTCAAAAAATCCAGAAAGCACGACAATCCCACGACGCATCGCCCGACAGGAAGCGAATGTTATCGATCAGTGTAGCTGCATCAAGTAAATCTCCCTACAAGAAGCGAGCGAAACGACGTATATCTAGCGACTATCAACCACCACGAGATGACGAAGAGCTTGCCAAACGTTTCAAAGAGGTGCAGATTGTTCTCTTCCACCCATCGCTTTTAATCATTGTTACATGGACCTGATGGTTTCTTCTTTCTATTCGCCCGATTCTCGTTCTTTCTCTCCCAGAATCAGGAGGAACACGAGCGTCGTTGGGCCCAGGGATCGTTTCTTCAAGTCGTGCGAAACCATGTTAAGTGCCGATCGAGTCATCACCCATCTGTGCCCTGGCAAATATGGTTATCCGTCAACCCAGAAAGCGACGCCACGGCTATTTGGATTGAACGCAAGTTTAATGTTCCGGACTCTGGAGAATGGGTGTCTGAAGCTATCTTTTCGATACCCCTTTCTCCGAGCAAACTTTCCAAAGAGCCAGGGTATCCGGGAATGCTTGTATTCGAATGTACACCTATCGAGGGCGTTCCGGACGAAATCGAAAGGTAGGATTGTCTATTGTTCTCTCTACTCTTCTTTCGCTGAGATGGAGGATGATAGAAAATATCGCGTTTTAGACGATTGCTCTCGCCTTCGTGACATCATCAAGACATTACCTCCCAAACGCCACTTCATCCCGTCTCTTCTGATATTCTGCTGGACGGAGGGAGCAGACTCTTATCCGGCGACTGATTTTTTTGATATGGTTCATTCACCTTCTTTGCGCTTCTGACAATGCCTTGACCGTTCCACTTCAGGTCAAGAGATTCGTGTCGGAGAACATTCTTGAAAGCTATCATGTTTTTGCGATGACATCGACCACAAAGGACTTGGATTCCAAACTCGATGATGCGATGAAGTCGTTGTCTCTGGATACGGAAGGAAAACTTGTCAAGGCCCTAACAGTTCGAGGTATTTGACATCAGCTTCTCGGTCATATTGATATTGATTTCTTTTTTTGTAGGGATCTACAAACTTTTCGAATCGACCTTTAACTCGTTTGTAACAGAGTGGATTGAAAACTGCTCTTCCAACTGCTTCTGTACGTTTGCAGTCACGGGGTTCATTCGTCCACTCAATGATTTTGACAGTCGATTGGAATATCTACGGCCACCTTGTTCAAGCTTCTTTTGAGCTTTTGAATGTGATTGACTCATCCGTGCACCAATTGACAAATATACGAGGTGAAACCAACCTTCATCCGTTCGACCCTGATTCTCTGGAAGACAGCGAGTAAGCTGATCCAATTGACTGCCTCTTTGTCATTTCTGATCATTCTATAGCTCCGCATATGAAGTTGCAGAGCAGTGGCTCTCAGCCCTTAACCAACGAGGAGATGCCAGCCAGGTGATCATGGACCTTCAGTCGCACAGGAATATCGGACAAGGTAAGCGACATGCGTGGTGGCTTTCTGTCTAGTTACTAATCATATGCCAGATTTCCCCGTGCGCGCCTTCATCGAACATATCGCCGAGATCCTACAGATTCGGTTGGAAACCCAGATCGGCGCTAAGAAAGTGTATTATATCACAGTCACTGCCGTGAAATCTTCCCTCCGGTCATTTGAGTCCGCCATCGAACCTCAGCAGATGAAACTGGGACAAGTCCTGAATTCGAGTATACGTCGCTCACCGAAGCGTCGTAGCTACTCAGTGGACACAACACAGACAAGGTATGTCAAGAGTTCTCATATCGCCTGATGACGCCGATGTGACATCCTTCACGTCCAGTCCTCAAGCCAAACGGATAAAGTTGTTTACTTCTGCGGATACCTCGGTCTCGGGCGGCGATGACGCCCTCAGTCCATTCTCCAGCCCCCTTATCAATGGTAGAAGCTCTCCCTCGCCAAGTATCAGCGCCGTCTCGCAGTCGACTAGTGCTACTGAAGCTCCGACTATCACCGCCGCGATGCTCCGAGCCCTCACGAGAGATATGAAGAGAAAGTATGCGTCTGCGTCGTAACGATCTGCACCACATACTTCGCGGACTTTGGTTTTCTACCTCCCTCTGCTGTAACTTATCTAGTTTCTGTATTGACGACAACACGATTGGATACCTTGCTTTCTGTATTTTATATGCATAATGTTTAACAAAATTCCACACTCATATAATAATTTTGACGTTTTTGGGAGCTTTGAAATTTGAGAAAACATTTCCCCTTCCAATTCTTGAGATGGATTGGTGATTTTGACGCGGGATTGGATTCGCGGGGTGATGGCTTCTGACCGTAGATTGGTCCACCAATTTAGGCAATAACTGGATTTGACAGGCACTCGATGGCCACCTTTCGGCCACGCCGAAATTGCCTTTCCGGGCAGTTCATCGCAAGTTCCCATTTATGGTGTTTCTAATGGCGTCTTTACTTCCGAGTCTTTTCTCTGTTTCCCGCTACTTTTATATCCTGAAATTTTTACCAGATGCGCGTACTACTCCAATAGTCTCATCCCTTATTTTTTCAGTTGCTCTTCCGTCCACGTTGAACGAGGAAACACAAAGGAAGTAATATTGACATGTATTTGGCAGTGTGGGCGTTTTGTGATGGATGGACAACGTTCCTTGACTACCGAAAAGTGGTGGATTGCTCTGGGACTTGCACCTATATAACCCGCCGCTTCAAAGCAAGATGTCTCCTCACAAGCCTCAGCCCGCCCGCCTTCAGCAACTACAAATCCTCAGCTCCGCCGCCACCGCCAACACCGACGAACACATTCGCCGTCAATGTCTTCTACTGCCTTCTCCTCTGCATCCATCGATCTCGAGGCCCAAGTGGCTCTCCCGGCACCCACGCGCGCCATGCCAGACTCTTCGCGGACGGCACCAGTTGCCCCCATTAACCCAACGGACGAGCTTTTTGGATACACTTTCTCCCCATCGTCGCGCACGCGCGATAGTCGCCACGACTCTGTCCGCATGAGCATCTCAGATGTTCCCCCTCCATACGTTGAGGAATCAGACGTGCCAGCATACACACTCCATGCGCCCGAGCCAATGACGCTCGCCATGTATCTCTTCAAATTCGGATTTTGTACGTTTCTCTCTCTTCCTCTTCACAAGATAACAAAAAACTCATGCATTTCGAATTCTAGTATTCCCGCCGTTCTGGATATTCGGTGCCCTCATCCTCCTTTCGCCCCTTCGCGAACCACCCACATCCTCCGACGCTGATGTACCGGCGTGGATGCCAGAAAAGACGGAAGCAGAGCGCCAGCAAATCATTGCTGAGATACGCACCGTTGAAGTCAAATGGGCCAAGAGATGTCTCTGGGCCATCCTCATCCTTATCATCGTCTCTACCATTGCCGCCGTATCCGCCTGGGCGGTAATGAGAAGCTCATGAATTCCCCTCCCACCCACCACACGCACGCATTGGGACTCGACCTCTTCTTTTTATCACGCATACCCCAAACATTCATTCGAATTCTACACCAGGCCGCACCTACATTTTGCTGCGCCAACTTTTTTATTCTGCACCCCGCCACATCGGCGGGCGATACACATTCATTCATTGGGACTTTTCGATTCTTGGAACTACCATCATTTGTACCCTTACGACTTGCATACTTTCACGCTCTTATGTACTACGCACGAAACGCACCTCCGCGAGGACTGTATTTATATTTACTTCGTTTATCTATCTCAACGAGACTTTTTTGGAACGTTCTGTTTGGCTTGATCCTGAGAGCCAGTCGACTTATTAGCCCGCTTTTTCCCTCACTCTTTCAAGCGGCTTTGCCCAAAGGATATTCAACCCTCAACTCGAAGTTAAAGGAAATACAATGAGCTACTGACAGCCCTTCTACATCAACTACTGCAGAGTACATATCCAACGGTGGCACTTCGTGGTTGCGAACAGATTAGTTTCTGCTCGGGTTCAATGATGAATAAGACTTTCCAGCTTGATGGGGATGGGGATGGGGATGGGACCACATATTCTTTGAAGAAGTCAAGTACACCATGGTTTTCTGCGATAGTGAATTGTGGAAAATGAAAAGCGCCTCATTGAGCCAGATGAATGAGTCGAGTACCACCTTGTTGTCTGCTTCCGAGACATACATAACATTGCGGGCGAGTGACAGGCGTTTGTTATCTGGGAATTCTTCCATTCGGATAGGTTTGATATGGATATTGAATCGACGTGTCAACACCTCCTGACGCCGTTCCTTCAGTTGCGAACGGTCAAAAATTCGTGTCTAGCTTCGTCCGACTTTATCACTGGAACAAGCTCGAGTGTGATTCCCTCCTGGAGGGCCGTCTGTGCAACAGCCTCGAAGAAAACACCAGCTATCCGTTCACGCACCGCAAAGCCCTTGTAGAGACGTAAATGTTCCTTGCGTTCCATTGGAGAGTCTTGATTGGATGTAAGGAGTGATGGGAGTGACCACGCCTTGGCTACACACATCGTCTAATGATTCGCGCCTGAGGAGAACAATCGTGTGAGACATGAAATCGGTGCCAAGGTCCGCACTGGCAGCCCTTCTGACCAATGATTCGAGTTTGTCTGTCGTGATCACCGAGATCATTGCGGTGCGGAGGTCCTGTTCGTATTGCCTCATAGCCATAGAGTCTAGTTGATAATCGATGCAGAGACGAGGGGTAGGACCAAGCTGGTCGAATATTTCGTTCGTCCGAGACTCATTGATTCCATCTAGCGTGTATGTCGATGCACTACATTTCCTCGAGGTGTGAGCTTTGTCGCAAGGTCAAATGCTGGACTCACACTCGTAAGATTTCTTTCCTTTCCCATGGATTCATGATTGCGACTATCGGGCGCACCGTCTTGTGTAGACGCGACCACCTGTCACGGCGTGGAGAGGTTGAGTAGATGACAAAAAGTCGAGTCCCGTGCGGGACTAGATATTCAGGAACGCCCTCCTTGGCCTCATCGGAATCGACCAAAGTCCAGATAAATCGTTTGAAGTGAGCTTTCTGAAAATGGTCAGGCATCACGTAGACACCCTCCTCCACAAACAAGTAGCAGTGCTTTTGGTAGTACCAAATGACCGGTTTCCTTTCGGCAAGGCATCGGCGCAAAGCGTAATAGACCCATACACTCTTACCTTTATGCAACGGTTTGTCATTTTCGAAACAATCCGAGGAGGCGACAAGCTCACCGATCCCTGGTTGGCCTGTGACGACTACACAGGGTGCCCTACGCACCGACGTGGGCTTGTCATAATAAGCGTTAACCAAATTGAAAACACGGATGTATTCAGCTCGAATCCACAAACTTGTAAGCTCGAGTTCATCGATGTCGATGTCGAGCATGTAACAACCAGAAATGATGTCGTCTTCTGGGTCCATTGTCGTTGCCTCATCCATGGTTTCGTTATCGACGGCGTCCATGCGCTCCTCCCCTTCCTGATCCCGTAACCCATACTCACTCCCCGTCGCAGGACTGGCTTGCTGTGCCTTGAGCCACCGCTGCTCCTCGACCACCATGCTCTTGTCCCAAAACTTTGCATGCAACATAGCAAAGGGTTCATCTTTCTCGAGTATCGGCCATGGTTGCATATAGCTTGGAATTTTGACGACGGACGCGAATGCTGATTCAGATACCTCTTGCGAAGACATAGGATAACGTGGCACTCACTCATGCCAGAAGTCAACGTGGGCTCTTTTTCAAGGGCAAACTCACAGGACGTCGGTTTTGAAGCCGATACGTATCGATGGCACAACAGGTACGCAAACCACTTTCTACACACACACTTTAACCCAATGAACTACCTCAATCAACCCTCCAGATCAAGATGGTGATGTAACGCTGACTCCGACAGCGTCAACGTCGGGGCTTTGTTCGATCGTTCCTATGGTCTTCGTGTCAAGCGTGAGGAGTTGGTATCCATTGGTGTCGAGATCAGTGAGGACGACTATCGCTCCATTATCATCAACTTCCTCCCGTGTTCCCTTGTGAATTTTGCATCGTCATAATTCGCTACAGCTCAGATGCTGGCAAAGGACAAAACAATTGCCCCTGATGCCCTAATCTCTCTCATATCCGAGGAGTACGAGCGCCAGAAGAACCAGCGTAACCCAATGGTGGGAAGGGGAAGGAAGTTGGCGAAGCCATGGCTGTCGAAGAAAAGGAAGAAATAACGAAGGGTGCTTGCAGGAACCGTGGCGAGATGGGCCATCGTAGGTTTCAGTGCAAGAAACCAGAAAGGTACCTCGATGCTCAGAAAAAGGGCAGCAGCGGTGGAAGTGGCGACTGGAACGGGTTTTGCGAACGCCATGATGAAAGACCACGAAACGGATAGTGACGGTGTTTTTTTCTGTTAGCTGCAAAAACGAATGCGAGTCCTCTCCCGACACCTTACCAACTCATGGAGGAACCGATGCCCGCTTTCGCAGAGATATTCCCAAATTCTACACTCAGGGAAGAAATATATTTTGAAGCCCGAGACACTTTCTTCGAAGGAATTTTGGAACGTTAGTAACTACCACAAATGTCGGACGATCAACGATCAACGATACAGATAAATAAGGCTAACTTTCAAGCCTACGTTATTGAACAACTGGGGGAACTTTTCCGATCTACCGTAGACCAGCTTTGGATGAGCCAGCCTTTGCATTCGATGGAGCACCTTTTGACGAGTCAGGCTTTCGCTTTGGTTTGCCAGTCCAGATGTCGATGTGTTCCGGATTCCAATACGCAGACGGTTTGGAAGGCTTTCGTGCTGGTGGCGGCGAATCGGGTGTCTCGGTGAAGGATTTAGACATCCCCATCGAACGAAGAGTGTCTTTCAGCTCCTGTCGTTGCTTCCTGTATTCTGGTGATTCCTGAGGTGTATGGATTTTTCCGTCGTCATCCACACGTTGGCGATCGCGTTTCAATCGACGATTGGGAGGAATATTTTGGGCAGGCGCCTCTGGCGAATGCCCTCGTAGCGCCTTCTCCGTTTCGTAGGCATTGTACTGTTCGGAGAACGCGGGTGAAAATTGGATTGGCAAAGGGAAACCTTTGGCTTTGGATCGAGTTTCCACGGGGCCACGAAGAGGCACTCGGTTTCTGGGGCCCGACCAGTCAAGCGTATAACAATCCTCTGGATTTTCGAGGATCGTCCAATTTTTGAGCCATTGTCCAATAACATCCTTGGCTTTTGGAGTGTGTTTCAACAGGTAGATGTATGAACGTGGGAGGGCGTTGTCGGCTCTATTGGCTTCCTCGTCCTCGGACTCTTCTTCGCTGCTTTCGCCGTCCGACGGCACGTAGTCGGAGTCTGCCTCATCGGCAGCCTCGTCTCGTGGAACCCACATGAAACATTCCTTGAGGCGTCGTGCGGCTTCCTTTCGCAGTTCCTCATCTGTCATGGGACGGCGGCGCGCCCATGGTTCTAGGTAAGGAGCTGGGAAGTCTGGTTGTTCAATCTCTGAAGCATCGCCGTCGGTGGTGCGCCTAGTCTTCTTCCTTGCACTTCCAACGCTCTTGCTGTCGTCGTCGTCCTCCGAATCATCGGCGTCTTCGACTCGACTCCTCTTATTGGGTGAAGGCGGAGGAGTAGTAGAGGAGGTGCTCGAAGCATGGGGTGCGGCCTCAGAGACTCCTTGTGGTACGATCCCAGAGGAGGACGCCGATTCGACGGTGGACGGAGCTACAGGCTCGGTTGGTGTGCTGGGGGTAGACTTCGAAGCGACGGTCGACGAAGACGCTGGATTGGTGGCTGAGGTGGCATCTGGTTCCGCAGGTCTTGAAGAATCTGACGCGGTAGCTCTGAGGATGGGCTCGTCGTCCGGCACAACCGACGCGATAAACTCGTCAACCTCTTGGACACTAACGACACGACGCCGCTTGGGCATCCCGCGGCCTTGGAAAGCCGATAGTGGCAAGCAAAGCTCGCCTTCATCGCCGAGGTCGGCCTGACGGTAGCTATCGTCCTCCTCCTCGCGAGGTCGCTTGGCATGACCGTTGGAGCATCTGAAAAATAACTCACTCAGCTACTGGCGGATAAAATTCATGCAAGATGGGACTTACGACGCGTCTACAGTTTTACTGGCGATGGCGACCTCATCGTCGCCTGAAGCGTAGTCACTAAGGTACTCTGCGGCGGCTGCATTTTCGAGGAGAGCCTTGGTGCTCTTCTTGGTGAATTTCTTCCCCATGAAGGCGCCGAAGACTTTCTCTTTGCTACCCTTGAGGCTCGAGATGGCACCTTTGAACCAGGAAGGCTCGCTTCCATCGGCTGGGGGCGCGTCCCGGTGATTACCGTCAAGGCCATAGCTGGTGGAATTGTCGGTCTTGCCCACGGACCTTTCACCCTCACCGTCGTGACTGCTACTGGAGGCGGATATAATCTCGCGGCCATCCAACTTCAGAACAGAATGGTGGGGCAGGAGGGGTATGTATCTGTTGTGGGTCGTCAGCACCTTGACGAGGGCTGACTTGTTCAAACTTTCTGCGTTGTCGACGTTGTAATTCTGCGTAATAATGACGAATGTCAGAAGGATATTACGGACAACGGTTAGGACAGGATAAGATACCTTCGCATATTCGAGAAGGATGGCCTGATCATTCTCGGCGAAAAGTCGACGGTGGATAACTCGGGTACCAGGGGCGAATCTATGATGCAATTTGGGAAGGGGTTGGATAACAGGGGGAGGCTGCGATGCTGTAGAGGACGAAGCCATAGTAATAGATGGGGTTGGTTATGGGATGTAGTAGTGGTATTGAAGGAAGAGCGAAGACAAATTGTGGTTGACTTTTGAGTGCCCTCTGAGTTCGAAATTATAGTTTGGTGGCCCGAGTCCCAAACGGGAGAACAATACAAGTTTCGAGGAGCAGATGGCCATGAGTCCAAAATTGGCACAGGCCACAGCTCCCAAAAAAGGAAAGCGAGATATCATGGCTTTCGGCGATCGCCGTGTTAGCTTTGTCCTCCTCAGGCCAACAGAGTGACTTGAGAGTGACCACAGAACAACGCAGAACAGTTCTGGCGAACAATGTTGTTTCAAGTCAGAAAATTTCTCTAAGATCCGCCCCAACTGTCCTTAATTGGCCCTACGGTCTCCATGTCGATCGATGCATACTAAATTGCAAATAGCCAAGCAGGAATGACTGCAGGTTCAGCCAGGGGTGTACAGCATCGGTATCATGGACAATCTTCTAATTTATGTGGAGTATGTACAAATGGGGGGTGACAGATAATGCAGTGGTAAATATGCACAAGCTCAGCTCTAAATGTGAAAATACTTAGGAATTGGGGGGTTTGAAATCTAGATGAGTTCCTCATGAGGAAGAAAAAATACCAACGTCGGCTGGCTTCTCAGTCGACGCGGGCGCGCTTCTTGACAGAGCCATTCGCCTCACCATTAACATGGTTATTGGACTGACCATCGGTCACGGCAGTGAAGTATTCTAATTTGGCAACAGGGTCAGCTTTGATGGTCTTGGAACCTTCAGTCCAGTTCGCGGGGCAAACCTCGCCATAGGCGTCCTGAATGTGTTTAAAAATGAGCCGCATGACCTCCTTTTGGTAAGAACAACCGATCCGCACCGTGAATTGGAAGGCTTGAATTAGACGAATGGTTTCTTCGACCGAACGGCCTACAGGAAGGTCATTGACAGTGATTTGCCTTGATGTGACATGGGGCGTTAGCAACATTGTCAGGTGAGTGCAACAAAAAGAGCCCACCTCAGAATACCCTTGGGATCAATAATGAATAGGCCACGCAGAGCAATACCCTCGTCCTCAAGAAGTACGCCGTAGTCACGGGAGATTCGCATGGACCTGTCCGCCAAGAGGGGAAGCTTCAAATCAGGACCAAGACCACCTTCTTTGCGTGGCTGGTTAGCCCACGCCAAGTGGGAGAACTTGGAGTCGGTTGAAACGCCTTCGTGGCATACCAGTCAGTAAATTCCAGGTAAGGTAGGATTCAGTGGGGCGCACCGAAGACCGTTGTATTCAGCTCTTTGAAGCGGGGCAAGGCGTCGTTGAACGCAAGGATCTCCCTGAACAAGACTTATATGTCAGTGGTATGTAGGGAAGCCATTATGTACTCACGTAGGGCAGACGAAGGTGAAGTCCCTGGTGGCGAATAAGGTCGGTGAAAGAAACTCGACAAAAAAAGTTTCCTATACTCACATAGGATAGAATAGGAGGACAACCCTTTAAACAACGGCGACATCAGTGAATAAACAGTTGAGAACTTTATGAAAAGACACACCACTGGCCAAGGAAGTCACTCGAAGAAATGTCCAAGAAGGTGCCTTTAGCGACTGCTTCAGCCTTGAAAGCGGGCGCTGGGCGCTGAACGAGGGCAACCATGATGTTGTTAGAGGCGTTAAGGCAAGCTGTTGGGGAAGGAACGGGACCAAAATTCTAAATGTCGTTCGACGTCAGTTTTAAGTACGCGTTCTTTGTTCTTGTTTGTTTCGCACGTCGGCCAACGTCGGCCTGCCGACCCGCTTCACCTAACCACGACAGTGACAACCAGAAACGCTGACCTCAAAGAACAACTTTTTCGCCACGATTATGTATTTAGCATTTCGTATTTCTTACAGTAAGTGCGGGTTCTTGGTTTCCATCTACTCTAGTACTAAACTGCGCTAGGACTGAGAGAGTAGAAATTGCATGGTTTTCCCTGCATATCTCCTCCATAATCTTTCTTTTGCATTGCTCTTCAAGCTCAAATGTGGTGATGACGGCTCCACAAGCGCTCCCCTTATTGCCTTCGCGTTGTGGTGTACTTCCGGGCGCGCACGATGTCACGCGTCCGTCTACTTCATCACGTCTACTCCATCAACTCGTACATTGGGGCATACTGCGTGTATGAGAAACGGCTAGGAACGGCCTTTATTGAAAGTAAGCCAACGTCCTAACCGGACGAATTCTCTTTGCAATTGGCTGGTGCTTGGTGCTTGGTGGAGCTCATCTGGTCAGGGATATCGTAATGTGGGTTCAGTACCTGACATTATCCATGGTTCACCTAATAGTCAACGTTCTAGACCTCGTTTAGCCGCAAGGAATCGCTGTTGCCGCACCTCTTTCTGGCCTGATTTTTGTCCCCATACTCCACCAGCGCTACTTTATGCCTCTTGGACTACAATATCAGGTCATATGACGTATGTCGGCGTGTGTCTGCGCTATCGGTGGCATGTTAGGATTGCTCTTTTTTTCCGTTCCGATTCGCTACTCCGGAGTCGATCGCAGTGCTCAGGTACCTAGATGGACCGATGACGCACTTCAGGCACGGGCGTTGACCACCTACATAACCATCCTCTCATATATCTCTGGAATTATTTTGTCTCCCCCCTCTAGATAAATAGAGGGACTCAACTTCGCGATCGATTTTCACGATGGCCATCTAGACACGCGTTAACGAGTCAGTTGTTTCCACGAGACCGCCTGACATCGGTCCCCCTCGCGTCTCTTCATCAACGCAGCTAGGAGCCGACTGACATTTGGTACGTCCTTGCGTTGTCAAAGGCTTAGGTCATCTCGCTGATGTGCGTTAAACAGCATGTCGGACGCCACCTCACCTTATTTCCCTCATTTCCTTTGGCAGTTCTGGCTGTCCCATGTGTACGTCGACGGTAACCCTCAGGCAAACGTGTCTTAACTCTCTACAGGGGAACCGGTAAACCTTCAAACAAACAACGCATTCACATATACGATGTTTATGATAACGAATTAAACGAAGCATACGAGATACCAAATAGCGATAGGACCATATTTCAAGACTTCAACCCCGGCTTTCTTGATGTCGAGACTCAGAAAATCTTCAAAGAAGCCGAGCAAAGCTTTGTGAGGCTTGAGTCTGATGCTCAGTCAGTGGTGTCTGATCTTCTGGACCGAACTGTGTGGAGTGAGGAAAACGCCAAGAGATCCATACCATTCAATCGACGGGATGTCGAGACCTTGCGCAAATACTTTGTCTTTCTTCGTTTCCGCAACAGCACAGCGTACCGCCAGATGGTTGTCACCCTTGATAAATCGAGCTACGAGGAGCCCAAAGACGGACATATTTTCAATGCTTATAGACCGCTTATCGTCCAGCTCCGCAAGCGATACATTTTGCGTGGATTCATTGACTTCTTGGAACATTCTTGGGCGGATGGGGTGATACGATCGCGTTCAGACCAACGGTTGCCTTCAGGGTGGTCTGTGAATACTTTTCAAGATGTAATGAACCTCTATTGCTGGCGTTTATGCGAAGCAGAGGTCTGCGTTGGCATTGCTTGCGAGGACCAGGAGTTCATGCTTGCAGATTGCTGTTTCGGCAGTCTAGATGAGGGGTTCGACGAGGATCCGTGAGTTAATCGTTTTCCTCAAAGTGCAGATGGAGATCTGACTTTGTCGTTGGATTCATTAGGGAGTGTTGTGATCTCTTTTTCCCCGTCTTCCCGACCGTTGCTCTTTACATTCTCGGCACGGCAAATGAACACTATTCATCAATTTCCACCTATCGTCAGACTAGCCGATCAACGATCTGGATAGACGTTGGTTTGGAATCTCCGTCAGACGTCCATCTCCGGAATGCCATGATCCTCCAAACCTACCCACACTTTCTTTACTTCTCTTCCCTCCGGACTGTTGCACTTTCCATATCATCGTACGACGAGTTCCGGTGGATCCAAGAGCATCAGGACTATAGCCGATTGAAGCAACGATGTCGACAAAAGTTTTTGCAGGAGACAGTCACCAAGACTTTGGTCGTGAAAGGGTCTGTGATCTTGACTGATCTTACCGATGAAGTTGTGAAGGGAGAGGCGGCTGTCGCTCATGGAACATTCTCTGACGTATGGAAAGGAATTTGGAACGATCCAATTGAGAGACGCCCACGGCCGGTAAGTTTCTTTGTGGTGTTATGGTGTAAGGTCAACTCACAATATGATTCAGGTTGCAATCAAGGTCCTGCGTAAAGTCATGGTACAAAATGTTCGAGAGAAGCTCATCAAGGTACGGAATGCTTCTGTTGCTGGAATGTTTTGAGCTGACATGATGGTTTGTTAGCGACTCCAATCCGAGGTTATTGCTTGGCATCGTCTATGTCATCGCAATGTGTCGCAGCTTTTTGGGATAGTGCATCTTTCACAGAGCATTGGCATGGTATCGCCTTGGTGCGAACATGGGACGCTTTGTAACTATCTGGAGCATTTCCCGAGCGTGAATCGAATAAGACTTGTACGCATTTCAAATTATCCACCGAGTTTCATCATCTAACTCTTGTTGTAGCTTGCCCAGGTGGCTTCTGCCATTGCGTATCTCCATACATTCAGGCCCACCATCGTCCATGGGGACTTGAAAGGAGTCAGGCCCCTCCCTTCGTTCTCTCCGCTACCTGCTGACCCCCAACTCAGGGAAACATTCTGATCGATGAGCATGGGTATGCCATCATCACCGACTTTGGGCTCTCCAAGGTGATCGAGGAAATGTCCGAGACCACCAGCAAGGGCACTTCTTTCTTTGCCGGGTCAACTAGGTGGATGGCGCCAGAGCTTATTATGGCACTGGTAAAAGACGATGGGCAAGTTCCTCCCATTACTACGTTTAGTGATGTATATGCATTCGCTTCTGTGTGCCTTGAGGTACGCCTGGCCTTTGCACTCAAAGTGATTATGTGACTCATCTGTGTATGTAGGTGGCAAGTGGACAGCTTCCCTACCCGCACAGAACAAATGACCATGCTGTAACTGTGGATATCATTCGAGGAGTCAAACCTGTAAGGGGAGCTCATTGCCTGGTTCAAGTTAAGGACGTGGATGTCTTTTGGACTACTCTGGACCGCTGTTGGAACTCAATTGATTATCTCCGCCCTAGCATGCGTGAGATGCTCATGCTATTGGAAGAGATGGATCCAAAGCGATACCCCATCGTTCCTGCTCTAGATTGTGTCGAGTTCTTTTGAACTCCCCTCTGGCTTGATGCTCTGAGCGCTGTATTTGTTTATTCCCTTCGCATTCCCAAATTTTTCACACTTGTGTTTCTTTCACTTCATTTTTTTCCATTCCTTTCTCTTTGAGTTTCCATCCACCTTTCCATCGCTATACTGAATAAACTGTACTGATTGGTAAGAGCTTGCTTGTGCTACCGTGGTAGGTATTATAACGATCTAAAGGAGGCTCAGAGCAGGCGTCGAAGAGCAGGGACCACACGTTCACTCCATCCCCTTGCTTTCCCCTCTCCTTCTCCCCGCCCTCCCTCTCTCCAAAAAACAACCCCCCCCTTCGGCGAAACACTCCCACTTGTACGAGTCTTGCTATCCTCGCTCACCGACCGCGAATGCCTTGACCGTCAGCAGCTTGAGCCATTTTCCAGCCATATAGCATGGGTCGAGCCAGTGTCATGACGAGTGGGAACCATAAATTCACAAAGGGATTTGGACTGCTGGAAGGCGGATTCGCTGAAGGACCTCTGCCGTGGTGGGGAAAGGGTTGAGGCATGAAGCGTGTAAGAAACAGCGAATTTAGTGACGCCCATGGCGTAGATTGCACCATTCGTTAGTAGGAGTTGGGTGTGGATGACCAGAGGGCTGGGGCAGGGCGTCACACATAATTTTTTAATGAAATTGTGACCACATACGTTTGGTCCGGAGAAGGCCCTGTCCACTTCACCCCTCAGTATCTCCATCAATGCCGCGAACCGTATAACCGTTGACAAGGACATAAGTAACCCTTGACTTTGAACGCTACAAGTTTGCCCAGGTAGCGTGGCTCGGATAAAACGGGAAGTTGAGGGGCGTGGAGCTGCTTCTCAGCAATTAAATGACCATGTAAAGCATTATATGTTCGAAGAGTTGCCCCTCCTGGACTAGACAGAACCGCAACGCCTAAGTTGAAACTTAGAAGGAACGCCATATTAGAAAAGAACAGCACTCACAGTCCTTCCTCTTGTAGAAGCCTGCTATCCGGCCCTCGGGGTCGAAAATGTACCTCCACGCTGCGATAATAATTTCAGAAGAATGAAACTATCGGGTGCGGGAGCTCACGAATGGACCCATTCTCCGTATTCAGAACTGCTACAAGTTTCTTGTGCCAGTCAACGACGCCAACGTCGGATCCGTGGAGAGCACAGCTGATGACACATAGAGCCAGCAGAAGCAATAATTACGAGACAAACCGCATCTGGGGCGGTGTCTACAGTTAGAGGACCAGGATATGGATGGCGATATGGAGGTTGGTTGTGCAAGTTTTTTCGCACGCCCTGAAACACTTCAACGTCCGAGCGGCGAGTCGACCATTAGAATTCGCCAGAGTGCTTCGCCATCAACTATTTTGCCTAGAATCATAAGGCGTTGAACGATCGCCCGTGCCTGCACCAGCGCCAAAGCCTATCCTATCTAATTTCCAGCGAAATGCCGTCATACAATCCAGATAAGTGGATTGAACAACTTCGACAATGTCAGCACCTCCCGGAAGCTGACATGAAAGCTCTCTGCGACATGGTGCGCAACATCCTCCTTGAAGAATCCAACATTCAACCTGTCTCGAGTCCTGTTACAATTTGTGGCGACATCCACGGCCAATTCTGGGATCTTATAGAGCTGCTGCGGAAGGGAGGGGAGGTCCCAGAAACAAGCTACATATTCATGGCACGTATGTTGTCCCTTGCACTAAGGATTATGTTGAAGGGACTAATCTAACTTGTGTTTGTCTTCTAGGGCGACTTTGTAGATCGCGGGCACTACAGCTTGGAGACTGTGTCGCTATTATTGGCGCTTAAAGCTAGGTAAGTGGTATAGGCTCTTGTCATGAACTCTCTTGCTAACAACTCGGTGTTCTCTCCTTTAGATATCCGGATCGAGTGACCCTTCTGCGGGGCAATCACGAGAGTCGACAGATAACACAGGTGTATGGATTTTACGGTCAAGCCGACGTCTTACCCCGACGGGTCTAGTATTCACCTATCGTTCTTAGATGAATGCCAACACAAGTATGGCAGTGCCGCTGTATGGAAGGCGTGTTGCAATGTCTTTGACTTCCTCAACATTGCCGCTGTAACTGTTCCAGTTTCATCCCCGCGCCATCTCTGATTTTCTGACTGATTTCATTCCAAAGATCATTGACGGGACAACCTTTTGTGTTCATGGCGGTCTCTCACCCGATATCCGAACTCTTGATCAAATTCGGGTCCTGTCGCGCTCACAGGAAATCCCTCACGAGGGAGCATTTTGTGGTGCGTATCCCAACCTTGAAATGACTAGCGTTAACGATATGGTGTTTTATATTAAGATCTAATGTGGTCTGACCCCGACGACATTGAATCATGGGCTGTCAGCCCTAGGGGCGCTGGCTGGCTGTTCGGACGGAACATCACACAAGAAGTTGACCTTTCTTTTGCGTTTTTGGGGTAACGGCTAATAGACGTTCAGTTCAACCATGTGAACAACCTCAACATAATTGCCCGGGCCCACCAGCTTGTGCAAGAAGGATACAAGTACATGTTCGATGAGCAACTAGTCACCGTGTGGTCAGCGCCAAATTACTGCTATCGATGCGGGAACTCAGCATCTATTATGACGGTCCACGAAGATGGGAGTAGGACATTCACAGTTTATGAGGCTGCTGAAGAGAATCTGAGAGATAAGGGACAAGGAAGGAAAATTGTGAGTCATATTTAATGCCTTCTCTCTATCCTGATGTAGTAAATCTCACACTCAGAGCAATATCCCCTACTTTGTATGATTATCACTGTTCTATTCCAAATTTCACATGTTGTGAGAACCCAGCGGCCTCAGCCATCACGTTGCCTTGAATTTTCGAGGAGTGCGCCCTGTGCGAGATCCTGTTCCTAGAGAGTACGATCGGTCAGTGGGTTTAAGTGACAACGACGAGTGAATCTGGCGGGAGTATGATTCATGGATCCGACTATGATGTGATGACCCTCTGCGACGGTCTTGTCTGGAGGGATGAATAGAGATTCAACTACGCGAGGGTCTACTGAGCTCTGGAATGCCATGAGCGTAGACGTCTCTACTTCCTCGGAATGCCGTAGGAAGTCATAAATTAAATCCCTTTCAACTGTTCAAGTTGAAAGATTTGTTAACACACACGGGAGACACTCCCAGATCAACTTGAAACTATAATGAGCTGACCTTATTGCCTCCTACGAGGATTCTTTTAACGATGCTAGAGAGCGACGAGTCATAAGTATGATGCTTGGTTGTCAAAATGGTAAAAGAATTGTTATGAGAAGTACAGTGCTTTGCATTGCATTGACACCTTGAACAAGGGACCAACAAGGGACGATCGGGCAGTTGAGTGGAGCCTTTCACTTCAGGCAGCGATGAATATGATGTTTAGCAGTGGGCAAGCCCACCTGGTCCCCGACACTCTTTTTTTATTGAAAAAGATCTCTATGTAAAATAATGGGTCTTCATCATCCTCGGTAGTCAACTTTTGGTTGACTTACACTTGAGACAGGGTCCAATGTTTGATCTAGGCAAAGGTACCTCCATAATTGTCGACAGATTTAGAATAATAAAGCTGTTGTGCATTCCAAAAACATTGATTAGGCTGCGTTCGGACTCAGAATGCCACATTTTGATGCAGTGTTTTGGCCTATATTTAGTAGTTCAAATTATCATCACATGCTTTGCAGGTCCCGTGGAAGGGTGACAATCTGTGACGCCTGAGGCTTGTCATGTGCTCCGGAATTCTCCGGTCTTCTGCCACGTCGCACGAAATGTCGCCAAAACACCTTCGGCGTCGTTTGGCGTTGTCCGCCCCAAACTGGCGGGGTGTCTGTACCTCAATTATAAAGGTTCACCATTGAATAAAATACATGAGACATCATATTTGAGTTCTAGCTCTGAGTCAGTGAAGAGTGCGCCAAATTAAGGACTCAAATAAAAGATTTAGTTGAGCTCATTGCTGGCACAAACAACGATGATGAAGCTTTGATGTTCTGTGGGGAAAGCCTGCATCAACCCTGACCTACCCTGGCCCAGGCCCTTAGCTGTCACACAGACCCTCACGTGCTTCAGAATGTGGCTCAGAAATCCCATCAAAATGTGGCATTCCGAGTCCGAACGCAGCCTTAACAAATTTTCAAACTGATGAACAATAAAAATGTCAGCCATATTGACTGCCCAAATCTGTTATTTTATTCTTTTACATATTCTTCAGTTGAGTGGCATTGCCATGGCTACCAAGACTATTTCTCTCAGAAATTCTTTAAATGTGCAAATTAAATGTGGTTGATGTTCTTATTGTTCTTCATTTTGTAATTTTAAGAATGAATTTGTTTGGGATGCACATTTGCTTCATTATTTTACAAGTGGCCACAAATAAGGAGGTACATTTGTACTGAATATTTATAAGGCCCTGTTTCAAGTGTTACATAATACCCAATAAATACCAGGTCATTGTTTGGTCATTGTCATGCACATGTACAGTTGAGTGCAAAAAGAATGGACCATCTGTCATTTTCTGGTTCTTTCTGAGAATCTATTGTGGTCTAAATGTAGTTGTGTATTCCTCTACATTATGTAGTTGTATTACACTTCCCTTGGTCTGGGCTAATTTGGGTGAAAGCTGGAGCTGTGATGAGGTTTTTGTTCTGATGGCCATTTTCAGCACCTGTTAAAAAAATATGTGCTAACTGGACAGAGAGCCAAAAGGTACCTCTGGTTAGCCTGAATGAGCCCATCAAAGAATCAGTTGAAAATACTGACCAGTTATGCCTGTAGAGCCTGTAGAAAATGGTCATTGTGTGCTATTTTGGTCATTTTTTGGCAAAACAAGTCATTTTCTAGGGACTCTACAGACATAACCACTCAGTATTTTCAACTGATTCTTTGGTGGGCTCATTCAGGCTAACCAGAGGTACCTTTTGGCTTACTGTCCAGTTAGTGCATATTTTTTTTCTCAGGTGCTGAAAATGGCCATCAAAACAAAAACCCCATCACAGCCCCAGCTTTTACCCAAATTAGTCCATACCCAGGGAAGTGTAATACAACTACATAGTGTAAAAGAATACACAACTACATTTAGACCACAATATGTATTTAGAAAGAACCAGAAAATCACCCATGGTCCATTCTTTTTGCTCTCCACTGTATATTCTTACTCCTAAATTGCACCCAATTTTATTACAACCTCACTCCTCCCCACCCCTTCAATCTGGCATACCCTGATGTGCCTGCAATGCAGTGGATGTGTCAGCAAAATGTGAAACACAAAACAAAACCAAAACCAATGCTTCAGGGTAGGTTAGTGTTGCTCTGAGTGACTCTGAAAGTGTGAGACAGAGGTCCTATGATCTTCTCAAAGTGAGCAAAGTAGAGTAGACACATCTTCTAATAAAAGAGAATGTGTCTGAAGGAGAGAGTGAAGTGGGAGAGTGGTCAGGGACATTTGCAAAGGTGATAAGTTTCAGATAAGTGGTGATGTGAATCAAATGCGAATAATACGAGTGCACACAGTATGCAAGACAATAGCAAAGGTTACAACGAAGTGCTGAACCAATTGTCAGCCAAAGACAAGATGCAAATTGTGGGGTGAAGTAGAACTTGTATTTTTCTTTTGAAGTACAGGATTTTTATACAGAAAAAACTACAAATAAGCAACAAATAAGTTGAAATATTTCAAAGCAAATAGTTTGAAATTTGAAAAGACTGAAGGAGTAAAAGAACAAAAGGAAAGGTTATAAGGCAAAAGAAAGATAAATGAACACCACATGTGGAGAAATAATTGGAAGGCACAAATGTGAAATGACATCATACAAAACAGGTCAAGGGACAGGTGATCTTGTCTGGATCAGGTCTTGCAGGGCTCTGAATAGATATCAGGATGCAAACAGAAAATTGATGAATAATTTTCAGAGTGTGCAGAAAGGGATTCAAGGATGCATCATAGTGTGCCTAGGACATTCGGAACATGAGAGGACATGTGTGGGCAGATGTGCAAAGGTTTTGCAGCTGTGTTGTAGGACGTGTACAGATGGGGAATATTCGGGAATGTGTGATGCATGATGTGTGAATGCAGGATATATAACTGTTACAAACTCTTTTTCTTTAAATATATATGACGTACAGACACTTACATACTCTTAAGACATATCTAGACCATACTGGACAGTTCTAGACACGCATTCCAGTCAGATTTCTTTACTTTGACTCATATGACTCATATGACTCTTATAGACTAGATATGATTCGTATGACTCTACACAAGTCATACGAACTTATACTTCTGACTCATATTTGACTCATACCCTTAGTATATAAGTAGGGTACTTTTCGTTGTATTCGGTAGCTTGAACCTAGGCAATCTAAGCTTAGTTCCTCCTCATCAGACCCTCAGAAACTAAGATCGCCCTCGAACTCTATAGTCTTTCGACTTAGAGCCTCTTTTGAAACCTTGACGATAAGTCTTCAACGTTGAAGACTTAATACACGTTTGACTTAACAGAAGTCAGCGTATCATAGAACCTTGGACTGACCTTCGGGCGCAAGGCTACTAGAACCTACTGTGTCGCTTTAAGGGCTAAGCGAACATTGTAGTGACCCACTTTGTCTCAACGACGAGAACTGTGGTAGACGAACGAACGATCGAACACGAAAGCTTAACATAACTGCCTGTTACGCTTAACAACCATAACAATAACAGATTTGGAGATGGTGGATGTGTGCAGAATATTCAGGTGCTGGGAATGTGAAGGCATTGAAGGTGTCTGAAGGTTTTGTTGAATTGAATAAGATTCTGTGTGTGTTGCAAAGGTGCAAGGATTATTTGCATAGGTGCAGGAATGTCAAATCCACATGTCCACATGTATAGAACAGGCATACACTCATCAACCCCCCCATGCATCCAGAAAGCATCCACAACCACCCCACATCCCTAATCACATCCAACCTGCTAGATAACATTTGCTGCAAGACACAGCACTTAATGTTGCATTGACTCTTAAAAGTTCACAGGTGCAATGGCATGTGAACATGTGAGAAGCTTCCTTATCATCTCAGACATAGATCTCCAAATCTGTGAGTAAGCAAGTTCAACTTTTGACTCCAAACAAAGATCACAGATTCTTCCAGAGAGTCCAGGTAACATTTTGAGGTCCAATAATACAATATTCCCATACATAGACTCTTTTTAAGATCTGACAGAAGTTTCTACATGATGCTTTTGGAGCTATAGAAACACCCATCCAGTAGGGCACATTCACATTTAACAGAACCCTCCTTAGAGTCAGGGAAGGGCCACATATGTGTAAATATAGGCAATAAAAACTGCAGAATAGTCCAAAACCAGTGTTCCCCCAACATATTTACTCTCAAATTCTAATTTTGGTGATGTAATTGTACATCCATCATGTGCATAAAACAAACTTACAATAAAGAAAGAGATCAGATCCAAAAAATGAATGAATAAATATGAAATAAAGGAAAAAATATTTGTGCTTACCATTGCTGATCTCATATACTATTCTCAAATAAGAAAATCTATGAAGTATAGCCAGAAAATCAGGGGAAAATGGCAATTGTGCTCATGGTTAGTGATGACATTGGGGAGAACAAATTTTAAGGTCTAGTGCATGTGCCCAATTTTGGAAACTTTTTGCTTAAAACCAAAATGGCAAAAATCACTTTGAAACATTATATCATTCTCTAACTACATAGATATCAATACCAGATCTCAAAATGTCATACTTTGCCATTCAAGTTATGAAACTTGATCTCAATGTTGTTTTATACTAAACATACCAATAATAACCAATAATACTTATACCTTGATGTTTGTAGAGAAAGGTTTCTGCATCCTAGATATTTGTTTCATCATCTAAGAAAATTTCCAATGAATCATCACTATCTGATGCCCAGGGTGCATCTGACAGGGCCATTATATTGACCTCTGCCCCCTTCTCCATCAACAACTTTGCAATGGCCTCATGGCCTGCAATTGATGCTGCCTGGAGTGCACTTCCATGAAATCATCCTTGTGCATTTACATCTGCCCCCTTCTCTATCAAAAGCTTCACAATGGCCTTGTGGCCTTTGTGTGATGCTGCATGAAGTGCATTTCCATAAAATCCTCCCTGTGCATTTACATCTGCCCCCTTCTCTATCAGCAGCTTTGCAATGGCGTCATGGCCTGCAATTGATGCTGCCTGGAGTGCATTTCCATACTCTCCTCCCTGTGCATTTACATCTGCTCCCTTCTCTATCAGCAGCTTTGCAATGGCCTCATGGCCTTGCTTAGATGCTGCCTGGAGTGCACTTCCATACACTCCTCCCTGTGCATCTACATCTGCCCCCTTCTCCATCAACAGCTTTGCAATGGCCTCATGGCCTCCATATGATGCTGCCTGGAGTGCATTTTCATACTTGCCTCCCTGTGCATTTACATCTGCCCCCTTCTCTATCAACAGCTTTGCAAAGACCTTATAGCCTACAAGTGATGCTGCCTGGAGTGGATTTCCATAAAATCCTTCCTGTGCATTTACATCTGCCCCCTTCTCTATCAGCAGCTTTGCAATGGCCTCATGGCCTCCAATTAATGCCGTCTGGAGTGCATTTCCATACTCTCCTCCCTGTGCATTTACATCTGTCCCCTTCTCTATCAACAGCTTTGCAATGGCCTCACGGCCTTGAGTTGATGCTTCATAGAGTGCATTTTCATACTCTCCTCCCTGTGCATTTACCTCTGCCCCATTCTCTATCAGCAGCTTTACAATAGCCTCATGGCCTCCACTTGATGCCACCTGGAGTGCATTTCCATGCATTCCTACCTCTGCATTCACATCTGCTCCCATTTCGAGCAGCTTGCATGATGCCTCAGTCAGTCCGGCCCATGATGCATAATAGAGTGGTTTACCAATCTGAGCTCTCAGTCACCCAGAGGAAAAGGCATAATTTCCATTGCAAAGTTGAACCCAGTTGCAAAAAGCAGCATTCTCATTTGTGAAAAGCTTCATCATCAATGCAAATGTTACAGATGACTGAGATCCATTTTTTCCACTAGAATGTGTATGTGAAATCCAGTGTTTTGCAGCATACTTTGCAAGAGGAGAGGACACTACCAGCTTTCTATCAGGTGGCTCAGATGTATTGAATTGCAAAAGATATGCCAAACAAAT